TGACAGCGACACCGTGATTAATCGCGCGCGCGCGCGCGTTACACGCAACACTCGTGAAACGTGGTTCGCGAACTTGCACGTTCTCGACACGAGCGACACAGAAGTCTCAGGAGGAAGGACGTCGGAGGAAACGCCCGGAGATCCCGTGAGGAAGAATTCAGGACAACCTCGAGTCCGCGATGTCTCCCCCGAGACGTGCGCGTCGTCCGGGATTTGTTTTCTTCCACTCGACCCGTCCGTTATTTACTGCCGAGGAGTTTACGGAGTAACGCGCAGCTTTTGCTACCCCGAGATATCGAGCCTCTCGCCAGGTCGACTCCTCGATCGACTACGCTAGTGGAATGTAGCTACGATTTCGCGAAAAGCGCTCGGTGGATCGGATTAAGGTACCGTCGCTCGGCTCGCGAGCTCGTCGCAAAGCGACTCCTTCGTCTGTCTCGTCGGGCTCTTGGACTCGCTCGTCCCGAGTTTAATCCTTCCGATGCCGCACGGCAGATCGTCCTTTGCCTCGATACCGCAAATTCTACCTCGGCAAGACAAGAAGCGAAATTCGCTGCCTCGTCGCGCGAATGTTTCGCCTTTTCGAAAGTGGTTCCGATAATTTAACGTGTCGAGCGCCGTGACGGTTGCAGGCGACCGACAATGTAATATTCCACCGTGTCTCTTCAAGTTCCGCATCAAGTACTATGAATTGTACGTGAAAACTCGTGTGTACGGCCGATGTAAAGCCGATGAGACAAAGCGAAACATGTCGCGTCTCGAGTTACATTTATTTACTTCACCATCTTTGACGAGATAAAGTAATTTCTTTTTCTCTTATATCACTCCCGCAAGTGACGGAGCCTCATATTTTCCGATTCTTTTTGCACAAAGAATGTATTTTTCCCGTATACTTGATAAAACAATAATAATAGTTCGATCACCAATTAAGCTTGTCGATGGGAAATCAATGGGAATGAGCGCGGCAGTCAAGGCGTGTTAACATTTAATTTAACACATGTCTAATTAAACACGCATTTAATTTACCACACCGTAAAAAGACCAATTATGTCGGAATCAAAAGTACCGAATTAATTAACGCTCGGTACGGAGCGTGTCATGCGTGTTTGCGCGTGAGGAGCGGGAATGCCGATGCGAGTCTCGTATCCTACCATCAGTATTTCAAAGTCATCTCGTCGTCATCGACATCTCAAGGTCATCGTAAGTACTTGGTACCTTCGTTCGGCACTCACGCGAGAGCGGCATCGAAAGATTTAAACGACCGTCGACGATCGGAAACAACCGTCTTTTTTTACACGTCATCGAGAGGTGCACGGTATCAAACCGTCGTCTCCCGGAAGATCTTCACCGACGAGTCCGCATGCTTGGTGTGCACGTATCTCGTGATCGTCGTCACGGCGTTGTTGTTATTGTTGTTAATGCCGTTGAACACGTCGCCGCTCCTCCTCAGCCCGGCCGCCAGCAGCTCCGTCTGCGTCTCCCTCGCCGTCTCTGCGGCCAGGAACGACAATATTCCTCTGAGTGACAACTATCTCATCATGCATTGTCGTGGGCGGGGGGGGGGGGAGGAACAAAGAAAGACACATTTCATCAACAACTACACGGCGATACGGTTGACTGCGATTGCGGACTCGGAGAGAGTGATCTTCGCGGCTTTGCGCGATTTCCACGCGGCCGAGATACTTCGCGGCGCGGGTAGTTCTCGCTGTCGGCAGACAGACTTGAGAAATTTCCCGGGGGAAATGAGATTTTCGCGTTCCCGCTCTCCCGAGGTGAGAACAACACTCTCAGCGTCGTCGCGCCGTGATTGCGTAAGTACTGCGCACGTGAGACGACGGTGAGAATTATTTAATCTCTCTGGCGAGAAGTGTAACGTACATCTCGAACGAGACAAACGTCAAACACACATACGCGTGCGCGCGCGCGCACACATACTCACACATATATGCGGGCGCGAGTGCGTAGGGTATATACTTGGGTATGAGGAACACACAGATCATAAGCCACCAAAAACACAACAGTGTACACGTGTGTTTGCCTTTTCCTACGTTTAAGCCTCACGCGCGTTGCATCGTGTGCGCCAAGATCGGTGATTTAACAATGACACACCTGTACACGAGACGCAGCAGCGCAGATCGCAGAGACGATGCGCAGGAATGCCTGGATCTCGTAGTCACGATGTGCTTACCGTTAATTCCACGTACACAACAATCGTGTCGCGTCTCGTCTCGTCTCGTCCGCGATTGCAGGTAGATTGAGATTGTATTGTTGCGCAAGAAGGAGCACGGTCGCGTCCGAGAGACAAATGACCGTGCCTATGTAATAAGAAAAATCATGTACAAGCGTAAGTAGTATAGTGAAAGACAAAAAGAGAGTTGAGAGAGAGAGAGAGAGAGAGAGAGAGAGAGAGAGGCAAGGATAAATCGCTGAATATATATCTTAAAAAGCTTAGCCGAAGCTCATACACGTAGAGATATACATGTGTACAAAAGTAATAAAGATTAAATTTTTGCAAAGTCCATTATTCGTCGCGCTCGTATGTGGCGACGGTAACAGTGTGTGAATATAATGTGAATGCGCAGCGCGGGAGAAATAATACGTGGATTATCGTCTGAAAAGCCTCGGCTTCCCTCGGAGATCTGCCATACTGCGCCCCAAGATTAAAATCTGCGGCTGCGGATTATTGGACGTGCGCGCGTGTTAACGTGCGGAGCAGCGTAAAATTAAATGAGAACACACACATATTGCGGGAAGCGATAATCAATAAGTAACCTGTGGTAAAAAAGGGAAGTGCAGCAAAATCGCCATTCAGCAGCGGCAACACACTTGCACGGGGTACGAAAGGATGCGCGACTCGGAGGTCTTCTCGGATGCAAACGTACTACCCGGGAAGACCTCGACGACACACGCAGTCTTTCCGCAAACGGAATTCGCGCATTTCCCGTTGGCTGGCTAATTGACCGACTCGTCCTTCTACTCGCAGCCACATTTTACTCACAACGCGAAAAATTGAGTCCTGAGACAGAGAATCTACGAGAGTGTTCTACGAGAGGGAGAGAGACGCGTGTTATTATATTCTGCAAGAAAAAATCGTAAAAATTAAAAATAGGATAAACATAACAACAGGGTAGATCGCCCTATATACAGTTACTCTTTCAAGGATTTCGCGTGTGTTTCTCTCAGAGCAATCTCCCCTCTTCGCCGTGCGTACAAGATAGACGAGAACGAAGCGCCTTCCAATCGAGGAAGATAAATTTAAATGGCGCTTATATACACTAACATGAGTAACAGTTTAATATCTGCAACGCAAAACAAACGGAAGAAGGTGACAACTGAAGGAAATAAAAATCAAGAAAGCAGCGTTCACGTGTATGAAAAATAAATTTATATTTACAAAATAAGGATAATATATATATATATATATAATATATGTATATATATATATATATAATATATGTATATATATATATATAATATATGTATATATATATATATATAGAGTCTCGTCCATAATCTATTTACACGCGTGCATCCCGACGACTGGACTGCACGCGATACAATTCTATAATTCAGCCTACGCGATAGGAAAAACAAAACAAATGCAGTACAACAGTGACGGAATCCGCGAGCGCTCCGTCCAGCGCGCGCGCATATTCATCTTTTTCTTTTTAGAACTAATATGGCAAATGGGAATCTGACAATGCGATGCTCGACGAGTGCTGTATTCCGCAGTAGATTCCCCGATATGGGATAGTTTCAGCGAACGGAGAAAGAGAGAGAGAGAGAGAGAGAGGGAGAGAGAGAGGAGAGAGGGAGAGACAAAGAAGTATAAAAAAATATTAAGTCACAAGTTTCCGTGACATTACTCCACGTCTCGTCGCGTATTTCGTGGCAAGAATACAATGAAAGCAATCAACGAAAATTACAAAGCTATTAGACACTCGACCGTTCGAAATAAGAGGCGCTAATGGGAGCTTGGTTGCGCGATTATTACGACGTTGAGAATTAAAATTGTTAGTCGGAGCATAAAATATGCTACGACTTCGAACGATAAAAACTGATAAAAATGTCAAAACGATTAAAATTTCATATGATTGCTCGCCGTACGAGAAGTCAATTCCTTTGGCGCAACATTTGTGCTATTTTTTTTCATTTGTATTGATATTTTTTGGTGCGTACAAAAATATTAAATATCTTTTCATCAAAGAGAAAACTCACGAGATGATACAAAGGCGCGGATACAAAAAGACTGCGAATCACGATGCGTCATGGAGTAATGTACATTGATCACATGTAAACTCAAAGCTCCGTGCGTATTCCATACGTCGAGTAACTCCCAGTGAATTCTCTTTACGTCCTATTCGCGTTCGCGCGATGCGACCGACGACTCTTCCCGTGCGCATTTCTGCTTTCGATACAAATAATGTTCGCTCGTTCGTACCGTTTTTTTCTTTTTTCGTTCGTTTGTTTTTTTAGCGCAACGTGATACACCGAAGGTCCCGGAATCAAGTCAACGCTCTGCTCGCGTAACCACCGGCCAATCACGTGCGTCACACATAAATTAATTATCTTCCGCTTAACGCTACGACGAATCTAACTTTGGCAGTAAAGTCCGCTTAGAATCCGCACGTAAGAATGTCCGACGGACAAATTTTTTCTTGGCAAGAACGCAGTCGTATGACGACGTAATACGTTCATATAACGTCTAGGGAAGAAGAAAAAAGAACGAAAGAAGGGAAAACAAAGGAGGAAGAAGAGTTCTCGACTTCTTGACGACATCATTAGGTCCTTCGTCGCTACGTCGAAGAGGGCGAAGGCGATATATAGGGGGAGGATATATATAGAGGGCGAGTACGAAACGTCAAAACGCCAGACATTACAATGACAATACTTGTTCACAATCGCGCGGCAAAACAGCGACTCGTAATAAATAAAAATATGCATGTGTACGTATATATATATATATATGTGTGTGTGTGTGTGTGTGTGTATGTGATGTGTGCTTGTATATCACGTATTTCATCTAATAGCGAATTCGGCGGACGTGCACCGACTCTGCCCCGGCACATCTTGCGAGTACAGCATCATTCTCTGATAGCATCGGACGGATGTAACTTACCGTCTGATGCGACGTTAGATCAGTGCAGCGCTGAGACAAAACGACACTACGCAACCGGTGCGGGGCAGAGTGAAGTAATTAGAATTCGAATTTGACATAGTTTAAGAAGCCAGATCAGCTGAAAATTTAGAACTGCACGAAGAACATTTTTCTACACAATATGTTATCATTCGTATACAGATAAGGAATACCATACTAATTAGACCGACTAGGATATATTCGTATTTTTGAAACACTTGTAGATAGTACACGAAGCTATTTTACATATGGTATAATAAATTTTCATATCGCATGGTTAGATACTCGAAGAAATTATTAGTTTTTGAAATCCAAAATTGTTGTAAATTATTGTAAAACATGCGTATATAAATTAATAATATATATGAACTTTGGTATGAATATATCCCAGTTACGCGATATGATATATATCACCCGATAAAAATCTTCTTCGTATATGCAAGCCGGTGAATCCGCCATATCAGAGTATAAGATCAAATTCGTAACAGCTATACGTCGTGTCGTATGCATGTTTGCACTACTATATGCGACCTAGGAGCATATTAAACTCAAAACGAAGACAAGAACATTGCGAGGTAAGAATTTCTTTGACAAAACAGAAAAGAATACTTAGAACCATGCTTGTATCAAGGTACCGAGGGGGAGGAGATGGGGATCCGTCGAATGACGGTCCACTTCTACGTAAAATAGCGTATAATAGGATAACGTAGCACTGCTCGTGAAAGTATGTATATATATATATACATATATATATATATATATATATACTGGTAACAATCTTTTATCAGTCTCTGTACGTATTACTCTTTTGACACTGTACACACAGCGGCGTAAACTACACAACATCAACGTAAACAACATCTCGTTACTATTACTATATCGTCTACATCCATACACGTTCTAAATAAATGTGTCAAACGTACATCGCGTCCCACCGAGTAACGCGACGCGTGCGATTATACTGCTTATAAATTACACGACTACAACGAGGAGAGAGAAGGGGAGAGAGAGAGAGATAGAGAGAGAGAGAGAGAGAGAGAGAGAGAGAAAAAAAAGTCGTAAAAGAGTTCTCGTTATCGCACTTTGGGGGAAGAGGTGGTTTCTTCGCAGGGGTTTTTCGCGTGCAAAACACGTTCACACGTTAGAGTACCATGCGCATGCAGGAAGAATCACTTCACACCGCTGACGCTTCCTCTCTCTCTCTCTCTCTCTCTCTCTCTCTCTCTCTCTCTCTCTCTCTCTCTCTCTCTCGATGGCATGCAGAACGGCTGCTTCCGGTGAAAGACGCGCGAAAGAGCGCAAAAGCGCGAGCGCGAGACCGTCTGTGATTAAACTTGTATCTTTCTCTCTCTCTCTCTCTCTCTCTCTCTCTCTCTCTCTCTCTCTCTCTCTCTCTCTCTCTCTCTGTACTTATATCACACGCGCAGCCAGGTAGTTGCGAATGGTCACGACCGCCGCGGTTTGAAGAGCGCGTCCACGGCGAATAATTCTCGACAATAAATACACGAAGTGTCCGTCATTACGTCAACACGATCACTCGTCGCACGATCTACATGTAAAATCGCACATTTGCGAGTAACATGGCGTAACTCACTCATAGATTACTCTTATCGTCATCAACAACGGAATATACAATGAAATACGCACACCGTACGAAGAAATAAATTATTATAGTCTTACACTAAGCACAGAAACTAAGACTGCAGACGCTGTCTCGAACACCGACCTCAGCGTATCGAGAGAATAACACGAGGAAATGAGACGAGAGGTCGGGGAACAACGGTTGAACGAAGGAATACTCTAGGTAAGTAGAAACAAAAAGAAACAGAAGATAACCAAAGACCCGATGGTGGCGTGTCACCACGCCATAAATAAACGAGGAACTGATTCACACGGATTCTAGGATGCGGACTGTATAATAAGGCGGAGCATCACGATACCACACAGCAACACTTCCTACACCTGGTCTCCCTGCCTATTATGTTGCTCTTGTATCGTTCGGTGACTTTGTAAGCTTTCAATTTTAGTCTGACACTTCCTGCGTGGTCACTGATATCCTGACTATGCGTGGAATTGCTTCTCGTCGTGTTGTTCGAGCCGCACATCTTTTGCCTGCTCTCGCAGCTTACAATCTCCGCGTCGTGACTTACCACATGATCCGTGTGCGCATCTGAGCATATCTTTATCACATTGCTGTCGCGATCCTGATTCCGGAGCAGCTGTCCGATCTCTGCGTCAGGCTTTTCGTACAGGACGCCGTCGATGAGCCTCGCATCAGTTTGATCCATGTCCACGTCGGCTCGCTCATGTATCCTCTGCAAGGCCTGAGAAGTCAGTGGATTCTCCAACAGGATCTCGCTGGATCGCATAGAGTCTCGGCAAGCGGATTCATCCGGAACGTCGTTGCGTGCCACGCTTGACTTGTCATTCGTCCGTGACGTGATGAGAGCCCGAGTCTCTATCTGACATTTTGTTTCCTTGCACATGTTGCACTTGTCTTCGATGAATTTGCCATTGTTCTCCTTAAAGTACTGTTCATTCGATCCGTCGTGAGCCACCGGATACACGTTCTCCTGCATCTCCACCACTTGCTCTGTGCTCGAGTTCAGTCTGTTGCTGCCTACGTCCATCTTGTCGCAAATCTCGTCCGACTTGTCTGAGCTCCCGCCTTCACCGCTCAACGTCTTCGTGCGGCCGTCCGAATACGCGCTCAGTTTGTTCTCCGAATAATTGCTCAGCCTGTCGTCATGGAAGTATACGGAGCTCTCGTTCGACTCGAAGTTGCTCGCGTTTATGATGGCTATTCGAGGTATGATCAGGTCGGGTGGCAACCCGTCGACCATGTCCGGTGGACTCACGGGCGAGGATGAGCGATTGGCGAAGTTGCTGAAGGAGTGATAGCCCTGCTGGCCTTTGCCGCGTACCCAAGCCTCGGTCAACACGTGGGACCGCTGCCATGATACGTCACTGTTGCACCTGTTCTTCCGCACGCACCACTGCCGGTCCTCGCTATCCGGCAAGGAGCGCAGATGGCATTCGCTGGGACTTCTCTTGATGTCCGAAGCGTCCACTTCCAGTTCCGCGTCCTCTTGCCGTTTATTCTGCACGATCAGCTCTAATCGAGACTTGAGCAACGCCGGTGACACCGCACGATCGATACGTCTCGACGTGCCGGTCTGAGTTGACCGCTGCGCGGACGCGTTGTCACCGGCAAAGATGTGATCCGCGTCTAAGTCCGGAACCTCGCCGGTGGCTAACAACGCGTTCGGACTCGGGCTGTCCATACTATCTGGTGTGTAAGGATCATGCTTAATAGGTGCTGCGTGCAACAGATTAGACGAACGATCAACATAATCCGCACGCGCGTTAACGTAACTATGGCAGTCAGGCAACATGGACAACAACTCCAAATAATTGTTGGGCACTCGGAAGCAAAACTCAGGTGCAAGTGGCAAGCTGCAGCAGTCTATCATACCTGCGTCCGAGATGAGATTAGCCTTCAAGTAGACTGGCTGTAAATGGGAAAAAAGAGTAACGGACTTTTATCGTCGTGCGTATGCGATTGCGAGAAGACGATAAGGCGGCATGAGAGGGGCGCATATTTATGGGATTCTATGAGGATTCTCAAGCTAAACGTTTCTCTCTCATTCTAAGAAACAATGACGTATCACAATAATGTACTTTTCAATCTCAAGCCCGTCGATCGGACAGCCGACCGGACAAATTTCTGGAAACCCAAAGCGGAGCTTTGCGTATCTTCATTGTGATTGTGGCGATGATGCATATTCAGTTGCACTCCAAATCGTTTTTCATAAATGTGTAAAGATATATTTTTGTAATATGTATAAATGTGTAGTTATACATTTATTATTTTAATTATTTTAATTTAATTTTATTATTTTAATATTGTTTGCGCATATGATCATGCGTAATATATTTTAAAGAATATTGCAATGTATTAGTAATATAATATAAATAAATCTATTGTTTTGTAATATAACATTTCTTGCGAGAATAAATTTGGATTGGAAAATTGGAAGGAGACAGTTGTTTGCATGATTCGCATCATTATTTTTGTATTGTAGTATCATCAAGTAATGAATGTTATCATTATGCAATCAAAGTGTTGTTTAAAGTTGTGCAAATAAAGTGTTCTTATATATCGTGTATAATGTAGTAAAATATATATCGAGCATTATGCAATATGAGAAAGTACAAGAAAGCATTATAATCTGCAATTTGATTGGAAAAGTACAATTATTCCATGATAACGGTGAAGTAATGCTGAGAAGAATTATGAGACTTAAGTCATGTATAAGTTACTTCGGGACACTACATGGATGTGCTACATTAACAAGCCCCTATGTGTTTCTCGCTGAGATAACAGAAAGTCCAACAGAATAAATAGACGTGAGAAGAGAAAAATGTGAGGAGAGATTTGAGATAAGAAGAGACAGACAGTTCATAGATAGGTACCTTAGTGCTTAGAGATTCATTCGAAACTCCAGAAAAACAGGCTGCACCATAATAATCGAAAGAATGAATCATCAGAATAAGAACTAAGTGTAATAAGTACATGTTCCCAGCATAATAGTAGTAAAACATGTCGCAGTATCGTTTTATAGTGTAAGGAAAGTCTCTCAGCCGTTATCTTACCTTGTGATCACCCATGCACGTAGTCGGGCCGATTATACCGTATTCCATCGCATCAGAATCATTTATCTGCACAAAGAAACACACGAATACGATACTTTAGGCTCGTGAAATTTCATCTTTAGAATTCAGTAAAAAAATCACGGGAATTTTTGCGGAAATATCGTACATCTTGGACTAGCGTTTTCGCAGTGGGGCTCAATAAAACCCGATCACACCAAGCCGGCACTCTTGTTTGCATGTAATTCACGGGCTCATTGATATCTTCTTGAAACGGATAACTTGCCACGAAGCTGATCGGAAACTCGAACAATCTTCCATCAAAGTCTCCCAGCTCTTTGTCATATTCGCGTAACTGCAGAGTATTAATAAATTTTATATTGATTACTTCGATTTTTTGATGAGATGACGCGGATATATCGCATTGATGACATTGATACGATCAACAAATGAGACACCCATGTAACTCACCCATTCACCGCTGTTCTTCATAAAGACGTTTTGATGTTCATAATGCGAGAATTCTTTCTTCCCTAACGTTAATATTAGATCGTCATCTCTATTATGAAATTGAAGCTTTGAAATATTCCCCTTATTTGATAACCTCCTCTCTCGAGTATCTTCCGTTAGTTTCTATGAAAGACAAATTTTTAAGTGTTACAAAATATATCGGATTTTGATATAATTGCTTCATTCTTGCACAATACATGTAAATCTGTAATACAACAAACACCACTTAAGTGCTGCTTTCGACAAAAATATGCTAAATTATTTCATGAAACGAATGTGTAGAGATTAACAAGTTTGTAATTTCTAATAAATCTCTACTTCTAATCATTTTATCGTTATATTATGATTGCTGACGAGACTCACTTTGATCACACTTGCTGTGTCTGTCCTAAAATTAAAGTCACCAAATAAAAAATATGGTACATTTGGATATTTGTCATTATGGAATCTATCTAAGGTATGCTCCAGCGCTCTTCTGCGCGTCTTACTGTATACCGATGGGAACTGTAAAGATATCGTCAAATTAGGCAAACAAGTCAACACGCCAATATGCAATCAGTATTCGCGAAATGATTACCGTCTCCATAGCAATAAAATTGCTGGCGTCATGAAATAAGTGTATGTTTATGAGATCAAAAACTGTTCCACTAATACTCCATCGCGTCCGCAGGAAGCCTTTTCTGGACCATTTGCATTCTGGGAAGAACTCTTGAGGAAACTTGGCCTTTTCTTTGGTTGTAACTGCTTCTATATTACCCGAATGGACTTCTTTTCCATTTACCGGTACAAAGGTACATTCTAAAATCGTATAAAGACCATTAAGAAAAAATGTACCTTTCTTTTATAAATGTGTTTATCGATAATTACTGAAAGCAAAAATATACCATTAAAATCCCATAATAAAACGTCGCTCAAGGACTCATGCACAAAGTAGAAGTTTCCTAAAGCCTGCAAAAAGATGCAAATAAGAATATCATTCTGATTCAATGGGCAAGAATCCTGATGGGAAATCTGCGACTTACTGTAAAATGTTCGGCGGACGAATAGTCCTCGTCGAGAAATACTCTAATTTTGTCAAACAACCTTAATTCTTCCGACGACATAAGTAATCTGTAAGCAACACATTTATTCTTTATCTGTCCCTTTATCGCGCCCTTGTCATAATATATTTGGAAGTTACATATTAATGTATTAAAGTTACAACTTTTATGTAACCTTTCTATATAAAATTCTATTATGGATATGTTTTTCAAACACTTCGTTTTTTTGTATATATGTATATGTATTTCACCCCTGTCAGTATTATTCAATCAACTTATCTTTTGAAGTGACTCACTCAACTATAGAACCATGCGTGATCATCTATTTTTGTCCCTTTCTGCCAGTTATGCGTTAAATCATATTCGATACCGTGAACGTGGACAAAGTTTTGATACAGTTTATAAAAGGTTTGTTTTTAACATCAATTTAGTGATAAGAGTCAAAAATTAAAAAGTTATAGACGTGAAGTTTTGTACATCATACACACTAACAATGTTAACACGGTAAAACGAGAGTACAAAATTCCTTTGAGAGGACTATTTTTATTTTTAGGTTTCCCTTTAATGAGATGAAAAATTGTATACACTAACTAAAATCAGTTATAAATTTTCAACAAATTTATGTAATTATACTTTTCCAGATAAAAATACAGTGAACATTGTTCTCTTATTTGTTGCATTACAATTTGTATATATACACAACTATTGAGATATTTTATACAAGAAAATATTTTGTAAAACAAATCTATTAGACTTCCAACCTAATAATCCCATTAGAGCCAAATGTTATAGTTCATGGAAACCTTCCAAGAGAAGCTTCACTAACAAGATCATAGCATGACACCTTTGGAATTTACAAAGACATTTTTTCTTCTTTTTCGTAGTAATTATTATTAATGCTTTACTAAAGAAATAGCAATAATAAATAGCAATAATAAACTCTTATTATTATCAGTCAACAACACAATCTATCACGCCTATTAATATCAGTCCACAATAAAGAGATATATCACGAAGAAAGATACGGTTTTTACACGCGTATGTCAGACGTGGATGAAGATGCAATGGGAAATTACCTAACAAAGTCTTCCACATGTCTCATACTTTGCTCGTAATTTTTCCCGCCTACTTCTTGGCAGTGCAATGCTATGAATTTCGGATCCAGCCTCGATATAGTCTGAAAAAGCGACAAATGCAGCCCGTAAACACGTACGCTGTTCTTAAACGGTTGTCTTTCAAGAAAAGAAAAACCAGCAAGGATACTTACGGATAAAAATTCTTCCGTCCATATCTTTAGCATCACGCTAGGCTGTAAGGAAAATTACTAATATCAATCTCACGATCCTTCATACTTCGTGCACTTTAAAGAAAAGTTTAATGAGATGTTCTCGACGGCGCGTGTATATATATTAATAGATCGTTAACGTCACACGCGCAAGGATATAGATATTGCGCGCACGTCTAATGCGCTCCGTGACAATAAAGTACACCACTTCTTTTCCTCACATTTCATGTATGACAATATGATAATCGATCACGGTAATGGTCGCGCTCGCGAATCCGTAATAAACAATACGCAGGCGTCTCGCGCGATAAAACGTACACATACAAAACGTATATATACACACACATACACGCCGCGGTCGCACCGATTGTATAAGAAAATTAGTACCACGATGGGAATACCGACGAACAAACGTCAATGAGCGAACGTAAATGAGCAATATCGGTAACACGCTCGTTTCCTTGGCCCTTTAATGCGCAATATTGCGGTTCAAGAATTCTTTATATTATATATAGTTTGTATTAAATATAGTTGTAATTAAATTGCAAACATTATTAATATTAATAAATTAGAATTTATTATTTAGAGCTTTTGGAGCGTAAGAAATCTCAAGAATGCAACTCAAGGACTGACAGATTAATCTCCCAGCTTGGCAATCGATTTTTAATTAAAATTTTCTTTTTATAAGTAATCGTTAGAATTTTTGCTTGATAATCAATAAATAATAATCTTCTCTGTTTCTTATATATATTTCATTTTCCTCGACTTTTTTATACTTGTATTTATTAAGTAATTAATGGAAATTATATAATTAAATATTGCAGATGAATTTAAATAATTCGAAACAGCTTTGACTCTGACATGTGTGCGTTATATATAAAATATATTTGAATAAATATTACACGTATTCATCTTTCACTTCCTGACCTTTGATCGATGCAAGTAAATTATATTAATAGTATAACTTATAGGTATAAATTATATCGTGCATTTTCCTCCTTACATCTTCCTTACATCCTCCTTTGTTGCATTTTTCGTAAGATCTTTTTATTTTTATCTCTTATAGTCTTTTCAAAAGGGCTGTCATTAACTTAAGAAAAATGTCTTTTTAATAGCTAATTTAAGAAGAAAATCAGTTTGATCCGGTGTTTTTAACATCGGATATTAAAGAAAATTGTAAACATACTTATCTTTAGTAAACTTCTTTACAAAATTGGATAATTCCCATGATGACTCATTTCGTAATATTGTATTACGCAATTGTTAGTCTCACGCGGGGAATTATCGTATATTTACATGCTCACTGTGACGTTTCCCGAACATGTGATAGGACCGATAAAGAATAAGGGACAAGAAACACAAAGATCTGATAATCGCCTGAAGGAGAATTTCATTTCGTATAACAGCTCGTTCGAACTTCGAAGAACGATCGCGCGCATCTCTCGCGAGATTACCAATCCATGAATAACAACGTCGATTGCTTCAACTTCTAAATATCTAAATATCTAAAAATAGCAAGTTGCAGAAACAAACATAACTATTCATGTAACTAACATCGGCGGCAATGTCTTTTACAGCGCGATGTTTTCGAGCATGACGTTGAACGTATCGAAAGCGAATCAAAACAACATCGAGCACTCCAATTGCCAAGAATATCGAAAATATCAGGAGTGCACGCGTCGCAATCCACCGAACAATTAACGCCCGAAATTCATACGCATAACGATATTATCGCATTACTGAGCATTCGTGAGTCGACATTTTCCCGAGCGACGTCGAATTTTCAAATCGAATTTTCGACCGCGTCACGTGACGCTCTCGAACGAACCTACGATACGCTGCTCCCGTGGCTACGTTCACGCGCTACGTTACCCGCTACCGTGTCCGACATGAAACAAACGCGTATCGTGCGCTGAAGAGAGGGAAGGAGAGACCAAACGAGAGGGAAAGAGAGAGGAGAGAGAGAGAGAGAGAGAGAGAGAGAGAGAGAGAGAGAAAGAAAGGGCGAGAGAGAGAAAAGACGTGAATTTTGAAAGAAGCCACGGAGGTAAGCGGCTGCTCGGCTAAATAGAACGGGCCTTCGAATGTCGCCGCGGAGCGACTTTCTCGAGAGCGCACGGCGCCGGCCGCATCGTCGGCCTAACGACCATCGAAAAGCGATTACTCGGCACGCGTGCGCGCGCGCGCGCGACACTCATACACTCGCGTGTTGCGTACCTTCGTATACTACGCATACTACGCAAATATACGAAATCCGCGACAACCAGTGCAGAGTGTCGCGCGCGAGAACGTCCCGACATGAGCAGGGCTCAGGCAGGAGAGCGGCGGCAAGTAGGTCGGTGCAAATAATCACGCGAATCGACGAGGACGATCGATAGCGAGTCGCGAAAACACCGCTCTCCTCGGCCCGCCGGTGCGGTGTTGTTACAACACGCTGTGTACACACATACCTCTTCAAAGATACTGCCGACGTTCGCGGTGATGAGGAGGACCGGCACACCGTTGCCCGCCATGCTCGCAGCCGGGGCGGTCGGTCGATCAGCCGACCAAGAGGAAGAAACTGCTGTTGCGGCTGCTCCAGTCACCGTTGCTGGAAGCGCGACTGCTATCAGGCCACGATAATCGGCAAACGCGGCGCGTAATCGACAAGTACGAACGTTGTTGTCGGACAAGCAGGCAGGCGCGCTCTGGCGCGCGCAGGCTGTCGCGCGGACTCGACAAGCAGCACACACCGCACTGCACCGACGGCGATGACGAACGGAGCACTGGCAGCACCCGCGGCGGCCGCGCGACGATCGACGGCGACCGCGCACGTCATTCGCTCGCACGCACTCGCACACTACTGCGCGCGCTGTAGCTCGCCGCACACTACCGCCGCGATCGAGCGACTCTACAAGTCTACACGACGACTCGCGGTCTCTCGTCTGTCCTACACGAGTATCTCTGTCTCGCTTTCTCTCCTCGCACTCGCGCCGTCGCTCCGCGTTCCGCTCTCTGTCTCTTGCGACCGACGAGGACGCGCGCGCGCGCGCGCGCGTCTCCTTCTTTCCCACCGCCGCCGCGTGTCTTCTCCTTTTCTCAGCAAGCCCTCTCCTCTTGCAGAGTGTGAGCGCGCGCTCACACACTTCGTGTCTCGCACCTTTCGGGGAAAGCGCAGCGCGCACCTCTGGGTGCGACCGTTGTCGTGGAATAAACACAGCTCGCGATACACGCCGCGGGCGCACGTTGTCGCGTGCTGGCGAGATAACGACGACCGACGTAAACGACGAGGAAGAGCGTAGTCAACCCCCGCGCCGGGAAGAAGCCGCGCTCGCGCACCGTGCGGCGACGCAACTCTCGCGTTCGACCTCGCAGTCGCGCTGCAAGTAGCATGTACACATTGTCAGTCGTTGCTTACGGTTATGGCTCTCGAGAAACAGAGAGAGAGAGAGAGAGAGAAAGAGAGAGAAAGGAGCAAAGAGGGAGAGGAAGAAGGTGCGGGCGACAGAAACCCGTTTCTCGCGCGTTGCGTCGGTTTGCTCGCGTCGCGTTGCTTCGCGTCGTTTGCGTCGCGTTGGCGCACACACGAGAGAAAGAGAGAGAAAAGTCATGCGCGCGGTAAATATATCCCTCTATCGGCCGCGGCGATACCACGCCTACCGCGGACGTCAATAGGCAGTGCCGTGACTATCGCGAACGTCGCTGACGAGGAGAGGAGTGAGGGCGCTACGAAGAAGAGTGATAGAGCCCGCGCGCCGCCGGCCGACGGACCGACGACGATCAGCTGATGATCGGGACTCGCTGACGATCACGACGAGACTTCGACTATCAGCTGACTGAGTACGAAAAAACGAGTATTAGCACGGTGGCTGGGATCGGCTGGGCTCGAAAGAACACTGTCGTTGTCGGACATCGGCGAGGATGCTCGATAATATTTTGGGAACGACCGGGGCTCGATAACACCCGTCCGATATTGACAGCTAACGGATAAAATATATGCGACAGTATCGCGGTAATAATTAACGGATAAGACACGCGTTCGTACGTCATCGGGATTTCGTGGCGTCGATCGCAGCGTTGAGTTTCACTTTTATCATGAGCGCTCGACGACTCGCTTCGAATTTGTCGAGTGGCTCGTTCCCAAGAGAGATGGTATAGAGACCTGGGAGTCAATGAGTTCCTGGGAATCTGTAACCTTGCTTTTCTATTGCTAAACTGGCTGCGCTGGTTATCTGGCGTATCAGTTCTCTTGTGCTCCTTTTCCCAAAAAGTCTCAACTGCATGTGAATTTCTTTTTTAATTGCGAAGACGTACGCTGGTTCAGCGGTAAAACCAACCGCGTGTCAGCTAATTAGGTACCGCTAATTAGACGCCGATATCAGCCGACAAGATCAGTACTTTCCGGTATTACGATATTGCGAACTACTAGCTGACTTTTTTTTACACACGAACGATGATCGGCGGCGTCATAACGACGATACGTGATCGCACCGAGAAAATTACTGGTAATGCGAAAATCGGTCGGAACTGCGCGGGACTTCACGAATAGATTTCTAGTTTTCTCGTAGAGACGCCACGGCACAACGTCATCGTTCTCTGCGATTGTTCACCGTACATTTCTGCAATAGATCCCACGTCGATCGTTGATGCCGTCACAATCTATCGGTTTATTGCGTATGTAACGGTGCATTTACGGTGCGTCATCGATTACTACATTCATGAATAAAACTAAAGACGAGTGGAAAGACCCTGTCTCTCTTTGGAAAAGCTTCATTGAAAAATCCTTTTATGCGATTGTTCGAAATAGAGCGAAGGGGAGGGAGATAAAGTGTGATTGAAATCTCGAACATGTTTCACCCAAGACGAGGAGAATCCCTCCTGGATGCATCCTTTTGTTAGCTGCGGTCTAAATTTCCATCCTGACGTCTCTCGTTTATTGTTACGAATATGTAATGAACACGTGTGTATGCGTATATAGGGAAGCGCAACATTGTTTCCCGTGTAGCGATTTTTCTATAACGCACGATCGATAGGGATCGATATTCCATGTCGAGAGAGTGAAGGAAAAGAAGTCAAGCTGGGGAACAATGAAGAAGACTCGCACACCCGAAATCTCTGAGAGCTACAATTTTCTGGGAAGAGAGGAAAATAGTAGTTTAAAATACACATGTTGACCCCGGGTCAATCTCTACCCATTGTCCACATTTATCAACATGACATTCGTCCCGAGAGCGTCACGTAACACACTTTGAACGCCTCTTCTAAACCGTTCTTCTAACCGTCACCGCTACGATTGTCAGATATCGAGTGCAAGGATCATCGCTCTGAAGCGCAAAACTTTTCGGCATTGCGTCATTTGGGTGCGCGTTTTGAAATTTCACCTGAACTTTTCCTCTCGTCTAGTACAAGTCAGAGTTGTAGGAATTATACGGGCTTATATTTTATGTAAGCTGGAAGAACAATATAAATATCTTTATATAACGACCGTGTGTGAAACCCCGTCGAGCACAACATGTGTTTATCCGCTTTTATCAGCTTCGTTCGTACCATCAGTCTTACACGACGTTACATTTATATCGCTGTAAACACACGCGCAAAATAGCCATAACATAACCGTGGCGATCTTGAAATATCCCTTCCAAGTTATTATATTACACTCTCTTCTCGCCACTTAGGGCAGGTTGTTCCAATTCCTTGGTAAGTTAACTGATAGATAAATCATATGCTTGTCTGTCCTTGTCTAAGTTGAAGGAAAAACAAAGACAAACATATGATTTAACTATCAGTTAACTTACCAAGAAGTTGGAACAACCGGTCCTTATTCACGCATATTTCTCTTATTCCTTTCTTTCCATCCGAAGCTGGCCGAATCTCGGGCGACCCGAATTACGCACATCCTACAGAAAAGAATTTATTGTGTGACATGTTTTATGTAACGGTCGACGGGTTCTGCTCAATCGGAATTCCCCCGTCGGCTGCGCGTTTTTCGATCCGGCGCAAAAACTTATCGGCCGGGGGCCCCGCGATAATGAGGCAGACGGAAGTTTCGGTAAAAGTGTGTCACATCGCGATGTGCGTGAAAGTCGATGATAATAGTTGCGTCAAACGAAAGCGCTCAAGTCGACAAGCGCTTACATCATTATTTACCAACGCCCACGGAATCGAGATCGTCCATGATTTTCAACACACGAGAGGACAGACAAGCCGAGAAGCTCTTCCGGAAGTCCGCGACGATGTCCATCGAACGTGACCATACACGCGGCAGACCCGATCGAGTTGGAGATCGCGCCCGCCATCAGAGAGACATCGACGAGGGCTACACTCCAGGCTGAAGTTTCAGGAGCATGAGATTTCAGGATGAAGTCCCACAAGGATAAGACCCGGGAGGCAAGGTTGCCGATTACGTACGGCCCTGAGAACGCGATATGTGTAGTCGGAAGCGACGTTCCAGCTGCGCATGTGAACGAGGAGGCCACAGCGGGGCCGGGGCCGGGGCCGCCTATGCTCCGTCTTGGCTGTCGGCTTTTTTCGCCGGCGACACATCGTCAATCCGGACGTAGAATTCCGAGCCGCGTCGGGGATTCCGGGCCGACCGGGAACGGTCCGCCGTCGTCTGTTGCCCGTGCGAGCAATCCCTTCGCACCCGTCGAATCCCGCTCTATTCGAGCTAGAGCCAGTCTCAGCGGGAGTTACCGCGAACGAGCTCTAACCGGCGGTCTACGTCGTGCGATCCGCGTCGCGTTGACCCGGTCACCCCGGCGACGTCGTCTGCGTCGCAGCAGACAGCCCGACTTCCGTGAGCACGTAAGTCTCGGCACGTGTGCGCTCTTACGTGCGTGGGTGCGTGCGTAATACGTCGGCGACGCACGTGTGACGGAGCACGAGGAACGTGGGGGAACGACCGATTGACGACGACGACGACGACGACGTGACATCGGGAAACCGTGTCGGCGAATTTTCGGGACGCGTCCTGGTGCGTCGCTCCCATCCTCGAAGGAGGAAGGACTCGCATTCCGGAGCAAGGCGACCAGGCTCGCGGACGAGCACGGGCGCTTACAGCCGTTGCGAATCCTGCGCGCGGTGTCAGGCCGTTTCCTCGCGATCGATACCGCGTCGCTCGAGCTGCTTTCCACGTGACTCCTCTCCTCGGGAAATCAAAGCGCCGCGCCGGCACGCCAGAAATATCGCGGCCGCTCGAGCTGCGCCCGCTCGGAGATCTTTCTGGGAGTTTGTCACTTTCGCGGGGGATCAGCACACGCTGACACGACGACAACGCATCTCCGGTGATCGACTTTGGAATACCGACGAATCTGTCCGCATGTAACTTTTCCCGAGAGTGTACACCTCGACCTGAATCATTCGTCATCCTGGCAGGTCTCCACTCCGCGACTGAGTCTTTAGGCCTGCATTCTTCCGCCTCTCGCACGTATGTCACAGAATGTCTCTCGTATCGTATTGTAGAACGCGTCACTTCTGGCTAAATGAAGAACACCGACGCGAAAGTAATACGTTAAGAACGTAATCGAGTTACGGTGTAGGAAGAAAAGGGGAGGGAGAACGAAGAACGAGGGAAGCTCCGAGTTCGTCGCGTTCGTCGCAACTCTTGAGAAAGAGCTTCGCACGTACAACAGAATGTATCACGTGTGTGTACATCGTAACCGTTATAGAAAATAGCGTTATTTCCCTGAACGAGGAATATCGAGATGCAAAAATAATGAGCTAAAAACGTCATCAAGTTGCGGTGAAAAGGGAAAGAGGCAGAGGGGCGGGGGGGGGGAGAGAGAGAAAGAGAGAGAGAGAGAGAGAGAGAGAGAGAGAGAGAGAGAGAGAGAGAGAGAGAGAGAGAGAGAGAGAGAGCAGCGAGCAAGGTTCCAACCGCGCTGCAACTCCTTTGGAAAAAAAACCGTGGCATCGCAGAAAAAGTCCTGGACGTCGCGCCTGACTAGCACTAATGCTATACTCCTAAACTATCGGAAACGAGCGATGCAGAGAGAAGCGTGCCAGCCAAGAGAGACGATTCGCGAAGCGACGTTCTTCTCACGCACAACGAGCGCCGTTTCGAGCGCCGAGCGATAATCGCAAAGCCGTGCTCTTTTCATCGCCGCGTTCTTTTCGCACTTGATACTCGTCGCACATGAACCGGAACGCGATTCAATCGAGCGTATCGTACGCAATTTTCGCTGGAAAATGACTTTCGACTTAACCGTTTGTCGTCTCGTAGCGGGCGGAAATCGCGTTTCCCGCTCTGCTGCCGCTTTTCGCTTTTGCGAAAACCGCTCCCGAGCGAGTGCGAGTGCAACTCGCACGAAATCGCATCACACACAGAAATCTCTCTCTCGTCTTGGACGAATCGTTGATTTCATAATGAATTTTCCGATTTTAGTTCAGAATACCATTCGACGAGACCACTCCGCACATTCGAAGGGCGATCGATCTCGCGGCTGAGTCTCTCCCAAATGCCTCTCTCTCTTGGAGTGTATTATTTGAGACGACGGCAAACGCGAGCACGTCGTGACTGACCCATGGTCAGTCACTGGTGCCATTTACCCTGTACACTCGTGAGCATCGTGAGTTTAATCGATTCCGCGTGGGGAAAAGAGGGAGGGAGATTCCGTTTTAAAACGCTACACAGGCTTTTATTACCCGCGCGCGATCGCGTTTCGATGTCAATCGATCTTTTCATTGTCGACGATGCTTGTTGACACTTTTTAGCACGGCACGATCATGCACCCGAGCGTAATACTATTGTCGGCATCGGCGACCTTTGTCGCCGCAGAGAGCATCCTAATGACGGAGGTCTTCGTCATTCCCATCAAACCGGAGACTTTCGACTGGAGTACAGATGGTAAGAGAGACAGACGAGCCAGTCGAGCTGAACTTGTCTTAAACTTGTCAGAAACTCCCAGTATCGTAATTAACGAGCTTTGATACCCAAAAGTTCGCGATCACAGAAGGGACACAACGGAGAAGAGAAAGCGAGGAAATAGAAGAACGTCATTTAACACGCGATGCGCATCATCGAGTTACGTCGCTTCGCGTTACGTTTCTTTCTTTAAAAGAGAGGCGAGCCGATAGAATAAACTTTTTTTCCAGAATTATCCAGCGATAATTTTACGCGACATCTTTCTTGCGCGCCTCCTCTCAAGGATCAATGTAAGAGAAATGAATGCTCCCTAAAACGACGGGTGGCATCGGTCAGCTATAATTATCCTACGTGGGTACCCGTTAACCCATTTTACAATACGAAATTAAACTACGTCTTCGTACGTCATTCGCAACACGCCACGAATAGCAATTACTTGCTGAACCGTCTTGCTGAACGTTGCGCGTATACTTCGTGTATACCAGTATATACCGCTACTTTCTAATTCAACGCCCACGATAATATCATCGACACGCGAAATGAGCCGTAATTATTCCTTCGTGTGTCAGGGTATACTTTCCGGATTAATGAAAATCATTTACCTTCCACGCTTGGGCGGATACCTCTTGGTTATAAGTTCGGATCGATTAATCATTCCAAGTGCGGTTCGCGAGATGATGTATGTAGCTCATGTAATAACTAGTTTCTTGTTCATGAGATAAACATTCTCCTACTTTGATTAACTTTATTTCGTTGCTCTTTAATTTCTTGTTACCATTTTATTATTTTTAAGAACCATGTTCTCTCTCATTACCGTATTTATTTCGCTTGCTTCTGCAAAAAATGCCTTCTGGGACACTTTCTTTGATTCTTTTTATCAGAATTGTGTCCTCCTAAAACTTGACGAAATCTTCCCTCGGTCATCGGTTAATTCCTACATTAAGAGTCTTCTACTTTCTTCAGTTTCGCATTTCATCACAGTAGCTTTCACGAACGTCAAGCGAAAAAAGAAATACTGAAACTGTCCTTATTTCAGGACACACCGATCAATTTTCGTATCAGCCCTCCTTGCTGAACGCCCCTGATCTACCGTCATGGATACATTATACGTACAGCAAGAAGGACCATCACGGTTTCTTGTACGGCGTCGCGCCCAAAAATCAAAAGGACTTTCAGGTGATGTATAATTAATACGTTATCAGCCAGACGTTCGGAGAGTCGTGATCGATTATTACGCGCACTCGCATTGAATATTACGCGCAATCACGTTGCGTAACCGCTCATGATCATTTCAGCTGGAGGTCGTGGGCCTGAACAGGCACACCTACGAAACTCGGTACAAGGTGCTCGACATAAACGTACTCGAGAGGGAGAACCTGACCAAGTACGAGGTGTACCTGAAGATCGACAACCTCAACGTGGAAGACATGTTCGATCACAATCGCACCGAGAAACTCCTCGACATATTCAGGTCGGTAGCGAAAATTTCATCGTACCGGCTTTTAATTCTGCAACTTTGTCCGTAACGATAACGCCCGATAACGGCCGTTAACGGCTCGCCCGTTTCCTTCCTCAAGCGCGAGTCTTGCGAGTATCGGGGAAACCACCCGATACTGCACGCGACGCCGGCAATTCGATAGTTATATCGGCGTGATAATAAACGCTTGTTTTATTTTCTCGACCGCAGGAAAAAGTTATGGAAAGCCGCCGTGGATTTGTACGTGACCTTCTTGGCGTCCGCCATCGATCTCGGCGCCCGTTTACCCCTGAAGCCCAGTGAAGGCGAAGGGTGAGTAGCGTCCCTTCCTTTCTTCCCGCGAATCACCCGCCGTCGCGAAATGTACGTTGGAAAATAAACCCAATGATCTAAATAATGCAAAATCGCGCATCTGAATTTCTCCTCTGAATCGCTCTCAAAAGAGGAAAGGAAAGTATGAAAGGAACGAATTTTCTGCCAACGTGCATTACCGCGACGTTAATACGAATATCAGTGACTGACTCGCAAATCAGTGCGCGAATGAGACCTCACACGAACGCGATGAACATGTAGGCGATGAGAATGATGTTGGTTGGCATCACAGCGGAGATTAAACAGTCGCTTTGATATCGCTGACGTACTAATCGCCCGATCAACCGCAAACAGCAAATGCGTGACGCGCATCCGCGACGTTTTTTCTTTCTTCTCTTTCTCTCTTTCCTTCATAAATAAATACGCATCTACTTCCTATCGCGCGCTATCTACGTCCACGTCCGACGGGAAGAACGTAGAAGGTACGCTCTTATCGGAGGCTGGATATGTTTAATTGCGGCCGGCAGCTTTGAGGAATGGAAGTCATTAAGCGATAGTGATCGTCGTCGCAGTCGCGCGGCCGTTTTACTGCGCGCACCGCTGTTGCATAAACGACATTGTCCCGAATTTTCGTTCGCGTAACGCTCCGATCGATTACATAAAACGACGCGCGCGACCACGTATCCTCGGTATTAAGGCTCCTGGGTGCCTCCTGGGCTCGTCACGCCATGTTGGACTATGACGTCAGAGGTGAGAAGTGACACGCTGAAAAATCTTGCGTGCCATTTTCGAAGAAAAGGACACTTGCGCGAAGGAACACCTTGGATCGCTTGAGCACTCTTGCAGAATGTTGCGGAAACTATTCTGTTTTCGAACGACAGTCAATCAACATTTCTCAGATGTAATACGAGATCAATTATGCGCATGCATATCATAGATATTTTAGCGCTATTGTTCAACCGTCAGAGAGGAAAGCTTAGCCTTCGCAGCATTTCGCAAGCATGCTCAGCGATCTGAAGAATTTCACATGCGACGATTTGCACGCGCGGACAATGAGAGGAATCGCGCGCGCAAATCGTCGCGATCGGTGCCAGTCCCCGGCAAGTGTGTGTCGGCAATTAACATGTATAATGCGTAGTGATAGATGAAAATTCCCGGAGACTCGCATAATTCTCTTAGTGCGTGCCCCCGCACGTCTAAACGCGCGAGTGGGAGGATTTTTACATCAGCTGCCTCGGCTGGCAATTAACGATTTTTATCGCTTACATCATCGCGGTTAACACGTGCGCCCGATGCGCTTCGCACGAGCTGGACGCTCAAATTCCTCGCCAATGTTCGGACGTGCTACTCACACTTACGCAGTTATCAGCGAAACCGGCGCGCGATCGCGGTTTCGCGAAGAGGAGTGAGCGCGAATCGACGAATCGCGCGTAATGAGTTTTCCTCGTGGGGACGCGGATGCAGCAACATTAACGCAAGCGTGCGACCGCACGCGAGGACGATTCATTCCGCGGTTCCCACGTGTCACCACCGTGACGTGTCGTGACCTATCTGACGCATTATCCTACCTCCGAACGCAATGCGCGCGCGCGCGCGCATTATCTTGCCTCCTGTCGTTAAAGGATCCACGTACGCTGAATAACAGTACAGGCCGCGTATTCCGGGAATAAACCTCCTTTTCCGCGGAAGCGCACACGATCGATGATGGGCTTTCCCAGTAGGAACTCACGATCGCACGGCGTACTGTGACTCCCCTGGAAGTCCAATTCCGCGGATCGACGAGCGCGATTTATCGTCGTATCCTGGCGCGAGCGATGTTACGCGATAACGCGCGAACAACGGCTTTTCTCCCGGGGAAAAATGTGGATTTTCTATAACCGATGATTGCGCAGCGCCATCTTGACATCAACAACCATGACTGTCGACTTTTCCGCGACGGGAAACGACGGAAAGATCGAAACTCCGCGTCGACGACGATCGTGGCGAACGATAATACACAGCAGACAGGCTTGAGAGAGTCGATTAATTTCAATTTGTTCAATTTTCAACGCCACACCGACGCACCATGCGACGATCACCGATGAAGCCGTTCTCGGCGGACGAATATGAATACAACGCGTCGCTCACGCGACGCGCTTTTTTCTCCACATCCGCGTTATTAGAAATTCGATATCGACCGTACGGCTCGAGCCTTTGATCAGAATTGCAAATTCCATCGATCTCTCTTCACGCTCGTCCGCACGCGAGAGCGGGCGTCGAAAAAAAAAAAAATATCTCGGCGCGCAGCGAGATGATGAAGCGAGAATTACCGCATGCGCTGTTGATGTCATTGGAACACAACGTGGGCAGACTTCCTTCCGGTACAACAATGTGTGACAACGAAATAACGTTGCGCGAGATACCGCGCGAATGCGGCCGCGTCGAAGAGGTTCAATCGTTGCGAAACCGTCGTCGTACCATTGTCACAGAGACGAGGCGGCGACGCGCGCCTCGATGGAGCCGAGCGGAGGTGAAAAAGGGAAAACGAGACGCGAAAGCGTAACGTAGCCGGTGCGGATTTATGTTCGGCCGTGAGGCCCGGCAGCGAAATAAGAGGAACGTTTTCGCAACGAGATATCGATTCATAATGAAGCAGCTAAAATTCGCGTTTGGTGCGCGGCGCGTTTCCAACCGAGGCGGCCGGTTCGGAGACGACGATCACTGGCGGGGTTTTCTTCTCGTTCGCAGAAGAGGACGCACAATTACTAATAACATTAGATATATTTGAAAGCCGTTTATTCAGTCGAGATTATACGTTCACCGGTTACGATGTTGCTCCTGATTCATCGCACTTGACTCACCGTGTATTTAAGTAAAATCGCGCGGTGTATTTTACATAAAAAGGCGCGTGAGTCAACTTTTTTTTACAAATGAGTCATTATTATTAGTTATCCTTTTCTTAGGAAGGAAAATTGTGCAACGGAATAATATTTACTGTAAAGCGAATATTACTTGCTTCAAATTTTTGTATGTTTATCATAAGTTTATCGGTTAAACATCGAAAGAAGGAAAGTAAATCTTCTTTATCAGCGGTAGAATTATATTTTTCTCTGCGTGCACGTGACTTGAGAAAGAAATAATTCGCGCAACCGAAGGGACCAGTTTTCGCGGGACAATTTTCGCGGAATGAAGAATCCGCGGATGTTACGGTTCTTCCTTTCCGTTTCACGGAGAGGTTTCTCCTGTCATCATGCCAAGCCTCTTCCGCAACGATCCGCTCAATAGCATCCGGATAAAAAATACTCTCTCGCCGTTGAAACTTCGTTTCCGGTTACGACTCGATGCCGATTGTGTCGTTACAACGTCGTTAACAACACGAGTTCGCGAGACACGGACGCGATTTTCCCATCTAAATCGCGTCCGCCGCCGCCCGCGGATGTAGCGTCGTCGGGGAAACCAGATGACACGACGATGATGATAACGGCCGCTCTCCTATGAATCGGTCGCTGTTGTTCAAACGTGGTATCAGCCACACGTTCGGCGAGATTCGGATAACGGAGTTACCTTTGCTACCTCGTTGTGACGCGATCCAATCTCTCCCTCGCGTTAACGGTGAATCATCACCGTACACTTTGTCATCGCACTTGTGCGCCTTTCATCGCCACCGAGATATATGTCACCCAAGCTCATGCACGAGAGCACGTTTAGACTCGATTCGAAACGTTTACGATAACGACAGTAACGACAAGAAGTTGAGGACGAAAAACACGATGAATTTCTCACGGGAGAGATGACTCGATCGCACGACGGTCGAATCGATCGATCCACCGCGTCGACGGCTCGCACTCGGCTGTCACATCCGCACTTTTATTGCGTCGTCGCGAGGTACGATGACACCGTGTGCGCGCGCGCGCGCGCGCGCGTGTGTGTGTGTGCCAAAGCGGCAATTATTCCCAACGTAAGTGCGATATCGTCGTCGCCGCTCGTAATACTTAACTGACTGACTGGCGGGGGCCTATTCCACGGCTAGTGATAAGACCGCGCCTTAGGAGCCACCTCGTGCTCTCGACCTTAGATACATATCAGTGCGTATCGCCGGCGTATCAGTGAAAGCCGCGGACAGCGATCGCGAGATCGTCGGAATCCGCGCGATCGGACGCGCCTACGTAAAACAGAATTCACGCCGACGCTCTGCGGCGGTTCATTAATTAACGTCGCGATCACGAGAGCGCGTCTCGGGAACGAACGCGTCACGAAGAGGAAGAATCGTTTCCACCCGGACATGATCCGGCGGCGGAACTTTGTCTCCTTCGCGCTTGTATGATTTTTACTCGAACAGCATAGGTCACGTCCCTATAGTCCCTATAGTTCGCCGATATGGACGAAGAAAGCAAAGACGCGAGAAAAAGAAACGATTATGCAAATGTGGCGAACGGAAATCGATCCCACGTTTCCCACAGCACCGCCGCGGCCATGTTGTAAGAATGCCGGATTGATATCACGCACGTATTCCTCGGCGTATCGCGATGTTTAGCCTCGGGGGCTCTATTGCTTGATCGATGAAGGTATTCGCGAGGGATATCGAATTTAAACGCGCGCAACGCGTATCGTGCGCTCCGTCTCTGTCGCTCTCGCGCGCGCGCGAGAGAGGTCAGTACTGTAATGATGTAAATCATGTAAATCCTTGTGGAGAAAAAGATCCGAAGGGGCAGGATATATACCCGACAGCATTGTAATTAAGTTTCGCAACGCGTGACAAAGTAATTATTACGCCGGGAAGTCGATATCATCGTCGGGATATGATCGACTTGTTCTTAAAATTGCCGAGACAGCATCGGTGTTTCAAGGAACGTGTCTTAAAGACGTTAAAAAGAAAAACGTTTTATTTCAGACGTTTTTTAGATATCTCTAATATGTATTTGAGCCATTTGTGCCGCCCAGATAGCTCGACCGATGAACGATTAAAAGTATTCTTGGACGAAGTAGCAGCGACATCGAAGCAAATTGCACTCGAGGTGAAGTATTTGTCAGCGGCAGAAAGGACGATTGAGATGAGAGATGGTTTTCTCAGCTCAGCCACGTCGCCTCGGACGCGTTGACAATCGACGTGCTGCCGCACAATCGTTTATTACTTATTTTATTGTTAATTGCGCGCTCGTATGCGCGGACAAAAGTTCCGCGTGCGCGCTGCTTAAAGGAATCCTTGACGGGAATGACGCAAGTACGGCGCGGCAAAATATCGCGATATGATTCGTTCGGGGAGTCTCGAGTCAAAGTTTCTTCGTAATGTCGCGGACGTACGGTCGCAGTCCTTGGGTGAGTCCTGTTTCATTCATTGAGACGTACTTACGTGTTACAAGAATATATTGTACTCCCCGCTCGGGAAAGCGTGCTTCTCGTCACGAGTGCTGTCTCGAGAGACAGACAAAGAAAGAAAGAAAGAAAGAGAGACAAAGGGGACAAAGCGAAAGATCGCTCTTTGATTTCAGAGTGGTCATGCGGTTGGGCAGCACGGTGCCGTTTTCGCAAGAGCTGATCGAATTGCAGGAGGAAGTGAAGCCGTTAGAGAAAATGCCGTCGTGTCCCAGAGACTTCAAGAGAACCAGCGTGGAAATACTTTTCCGAGAATCCCAGTTCAATTTAGACTGGTGCTCCTTCAGATTAGTAAGTCGACCGATCGAACGAACGAATCGCGCTGAGGTACTGCGCGATTTACATCACACGAGAGTCTTCTCTGTTCTCTCTCCATTCTCTCGACGGGCAGTCCAAACGACTGTCATAACCATCGCTTTTACGGCTCACATTACGTCTATCAAAATTTTACTCGCAAAATTTTAATTTTACTCGCACTGCGAGGTGTCGCGTCACGCGAACTTAGCCTGGTAATCGTCTTCTCGATTTCGCAGATTCGCAGGCTTCGCAAACGTACACAACATCTTATCAGAGATCTATCGTCGCATATTTCTCACGTGCTTTTAATCATCGTAATTATTTTTCGCTTACGTGCCTGTTAGTTTTCCGCAAACTCATCTCGACTGATTAATTCGCATACGAGATACGTTCGAATTATTTGATTTCACACGATAACATATCCCACGATGGAAAATACTTTTATGATATATGACGAGCATTATGCACGTTGTTTTGAATGAATTTCTCGTAGCGAGAGGAAGACCAGCAGAGCCTGCAGCACGAAAGCGCCCGGCGAGGTCCCAGCGTGAACGACGCCGGCCTGTCCTCGGGCATTTCTGAACACACGGTGTGGCGTTGGGCCAGAGCGATAAAAGCCAGCATGCCCACGAGAAGCTACCTGAAGGACACGGCCATCACGGTTTTCATGCCTGTGATTCTGCTGTTTGTGCTGAACGTCTTACTCGGCACCTCCATCTGTGTGCATCACGACAGCATGTAAGCGTCCGACATAACATCATCGAAGGAAAACCAGTCGGTCACTCTGCAACAAGTCGCGATGGCCGCCCGCATTCCGGAAGAATTATTCCTCGAAGAATTTCGTTTGCATCGTTGTTGTGAATTAATATTGCCAATTAATTCCGAATGCATGAGACGAGAAGGATACATATATTTTTCTTTTCAAATTAAAATCTGGCGGGTTCCTTTAGCGCGAGATTTCTTTTGTAACGTTTAACTTTTACTTTTTAACGTATTTGGGAAACTGAGATGCCGCCTCTTTTGCGTGCGTTGATTCAGAAGAAAGGAAAATTCATAATGTATGATTTAGTCAGTACTTGACGTTTGCCGTTCGATTAGATTGATCACTTCTAATACTTCGACTATGACAATGCGAGCATGAGTTTGATGTCATATCGATGACGTCTGTATCTCTTTTGGCCTTTATGACGCTCGCTTAAGGCCGGTGACATTATTCTTCCTTCAGTTCACGTTCGTATTTGTTATTCGTGTCACGCGTGATGCGAATCGAACAAGAAACTAAAGTGCTCTACCATGCACCGGAATGTTTCGCGGTGAATACAACAATGTCGAATGTGGTGGCGTCATGATGGAAAACATCACGCGTCGTATCGCCTAAAAATTGATGTAAGTGCCTTTAAAAAGAACAGACTGTCCAGACAAGAAATATGTATTTGCGACAGAACAGAGAAAAACGAACAAGGAATCTACACGAACGTAAACTGTCGTCGCCACTGCTGCGAAGCGGAAACGTTATTCAGTTCATGACGTATGTAACTACGCCGGTAATTATAACACTCGGTATGAAGTGCGAGTCGTTGTTTATACAGGCGGTTTCAGAACGTTTTCAAGTTTTTTATCTAATTACGAAGATAATTGAGAGAAATTGAAGAAATTTAAATAAATCACGCTTAGAAATTATCAATGAACGATGACTCTATTTTTTTATTGATCTCGGTCGCGCTTTGCCATATCGAAAAGCAAAGAAATTTGTTAAATTAGAAAATCACGTGATCATTTACCGTATTTATTTTTACGTTATTGCTATTTTCCTTGGTGTCAACACGGTTTAATGGAAACTTAGGGCATTCAGGGCCGGTTAATTTTTGATCAGTGAGTAAACAAAGAAGAAAACGTTATATTGATAGAATAGCGACAAGTAGATGAAAATTACACAGTTATCGAGACCACGCGGTTTATTTAGACGCCACAGAAATAACCGGTTGCGGGCGAGTACAAGCATCGAATCGGAATTGCCATGCATGTGATGTAACCGAACCAATTATGACCTTATTGTGGGCGCTACTATGTACGTCATACCACATAAAAAGAAGAAAATAGTCAGGCCGTCAAACGTCAAACCTGTTTCAGTTCGGGTCATTAATAATGATCGAACTGATAACGCGTCATAAAACAGCGATATTTAACATTTCGAATATTTTATTGATCTTTCTTATGATATTTTCGCATACGCGCGTTTTTCTAGACGCTACCTCAGTCGCTCTAAACTATTACTGGAAGATGTTATTAGAAAAACTGTTAAAAAGATACTATTAGAAACCGCTGACGGGGACAATCATCCGTTTTATCCCGATCCGATCCTGACCTAAATATTTTCGAGAGCGTATTGACCGCCTTATTAGTGCTCGCCGGCAGTTTGCTTAATCAGCTGGCTGTCGGTAGCATCGTTAACGATCCGTCAGAAACTTCTTGTCGAGCGTGCAGAAAGAGGAAAAGAGAAAAAGGAAAGAAGCCGGAAGAAAAAGGGAAACGGAAAGGAGGCGAGCTAAGTCGAGCAAACTCGAGAAGAGAGGGAAGCTGTAAAATGATAAGAGACAGAAAAGATAATACGAATACAAAAAATAATAACAGGAAGCAGAAACAAAATCTGCAGGGAGCACGAAAGAAAGCACGGAAATACTCATCGCGACACCTCAGCGTCGGTCGTTTCTGACGACACGTTGATGTCGCGTCGATGACATTCGACGAAAGTTACTCAACTTACGAGAAAGTATCGGTATCATTTTTTCTAAAGACCGTCATCGACTTAGCCACGGCGACGATGACAGTGCGAGATCGTGTCACCTGATCTTACCTTCTCTCTCTCTCTCTCTCTCTTTTTTTTCGTACGCGCGCGCGCTCTTCTCTCTCTCTCTTTTTTTTCGTACGCGCGCACGCTCTTCTCTCTCTCCTCCCCTCCCTCTCTCTCCCTCTTTCTTTCTGTCTTTCGTCAGAAGTTCACTCGTCATACTTATGTTACATATGCGCTCGCGTCGAAACCATTCCGCCACACTCGGTCTCTTTCACGTCGTGTACGCACACATGCATGCGTGTACAAACACACATACACACACGTGCGCGCGAATCCACCGGCGCGTGGCATGCGTGCGTGCGTGCGTGCGTGCGATGCACGGGGAACGGGTAAGTGACCGCGAGCGATCGGTGCTTTACGATCAACGGTCAGATGGTGCGTGACGCGAGCGATCGGTCTCGTGTGACGCAATGGAATTGCTTATCGGCGCCTTCGAGGTTCTCGCTGTTAACACGGAAATAGATCGAGGTGTCTGCCACCGACACCGATTTCCGCCGCCGATCGACGCCCGCGTGAGTGAGCGAACGAGCGCGTGCTAATTTCAACCGGTGTAAACAATAGCACGATTTCGTATTCTCAGGTGTCTCTGGTCGCGCGTCTACGCCTGGCGAGAAGAAGATCGACGATTCGTTAGCCGTGCGCTTAAATTTGCCACCATCGCGCGCGCGCTTCTCTCACTCCGTTCATTGTAACGCGACACTGCGTCGTCTCGCAGATTTGTGTGTACACACAAATCCGATGTTTTATCAATATCCGTATCCGGCCGATAACGCGGACGAGCGGGCGCCTCCGTCGCGATTTTGTAGCTATTCTAAATATTTTTGCGGAAATGTCGCGTCTTAGTTTGTTATTTCGCGCGTCTTTTTCGAACACAACTCGTCGACGGATTTCTCGCCGTTACGAGGCGATTTTCCTCGGATCCGCGACGGAGCTGAATTTTGTCTGGCTAAGCTTCCTATCGAATCTAATGTGCAATAATATTGTCGAAACGTTATTATATAATCAATAAAGCGCACAGAAAAGTGCTCGCTAATAATAGCTACGAGTTCGCGAAATGACATAACATCGTCTCACGCTGGACGCTCCAATTACCGGTCACAAAAGCTTCGCGCCGGCTGAGCTTCACTGCACCGCTGTGAAGAGCGCAAAGTGCCCGGAAATGATGCTTATACAGCCGCCACAAAAGCGTCTTTACAAAGTTATCGCGTAAGTGCCGCTATGAAAATCGGCGAGCTTCCCTGTGCGTTCATGAGCAGGCGCTTCGTGAAAAACATTTTCGCGATTTTTCTGGGAAGGAAGGATTTTTTCTTCGGCGAATGCGTCGTTCGATTGTGCCTGATCGACGTGGAATTGTGTCGCGAAGTGATTTGTGTCGCCGACGAAACTCTCAGCGTCTCCGCTCTAACGATTTCTCGCGGGCGTCTCTTGGTTAATTCATCTGTGACTCTCCAACGCGCTTTTATCTCTCGGCGCGTGATACGCCATTTTTGATAATACCGACTAATCTATTGTAATTAGGTACTTTGCGTCAGAGAGAACGTGGCTGTGCTGCTCGTAAATATTTAACGAAACCTCTTGAATATTTTCGACGATAACGGGAGCGTGCGATATGCGAAATCGCGAGGCTAATCTAATCCCGACGTCAATATTTTTCGCCAAAGACAGATGAAGGGAGATAAAACTCCTGAGGCGGCTTATATTAACAATTCGCGCGCGATCGATGTGCTAGGTACGATTGTTGGCGAAACAAACACGGATCTCTCTCATTGTTCCGTTCGCGGAATGCATCTATCGGCGCGCATCAGCGCGATAATCGCGAGTCGTTCGGGACGCGGCGAATTATCAGTCGCGAAGTGTCCTCGGTAATGCTCACCGATTAAGTCGCTAGAAGAAGAAGAGAGAAGAGACCGCGAATGAAATTTCAGCGCTTGTATTCGCTCGGAGAGCGAAGTTGGCGAATTGACAACGCGACGGCGTTTATTTGAAGGAAACAGAATCGCCCGATCCTCGCGGGATAAATTCAGTCCTAAGAATCCAGAAATTTGATTTTTCTTCAGCTGAGACGCGTTCGCTGCGCCATATCATTAATCGAAGAGATCAACAAGCTATCATCAATCTAATGGAGACGCGGCAAGTCCGCTAATATCGGCGGCTTTTCGCCAGCGAAAATCGCGAGTTTCGGATCGCGCGATCGGAGCCGATACTTACATTTAGCAGAAAAAAAAAACTGCTTCACAATTGTTGTAAAATTCGTGAATCTAATTGACATATATTTTTAAAAATTTCGCTGAATCCGAGAGCATGCACCAATCAGATTCACGAGTATTACTGCAGTTGCAAAGCGGCTTTCTCCGTTGAACGTAGCCATTGCTTCGGCGCGGCTAATAATAAGTGAAATGCGGCGGAACCTCGCTAATGACTTTAATCGGCTTGCTATTTTCGCGGTGATAACGCGCGTGGCGAAGAGGCGACCCTGTCCAAAGCACGCGCGCATGCACGCACGTACGTTCGCAAGTGTGCGTACACGCGCGCGCGCACACAGCGTGTGTGTATGTGTGCCCGCGCCCGCGTGTGTGTCTTCAAGTATCGTGGGGCGCAACAATTTTCATTGGCGCGTCGCGATAATAAGTCAATTACGTCGTGTCACACGTGACGATTGACGCAGCACTGACGCAGCGTTCATTTCGCGTAACTACGGCATTGGGAATCGCGTTCATTGAAGTTACGATCGATGTGTCGGGACACGCGGCGGAAAGCTGCGCCGTACGCGCCGACGACGGAGGCGTTATTGTTTAATTCCGCGCTGCGTCCTTTCTCCTCTTTCCCTCTTTCTCGAAGAGCCCGACGACGAACCACGTGCGATCGAGCTAATCGCGGTTGATAATGCGCTGGCGCTGCGCAAACAGGAACAGGACTCACGCGTCACACAGCCGCGATATAACTCAGTAAGAAAATCTGGCAGTTACGGCGGGGACGAAACAAACGGGCGCGAAAGAACAAACGAGTGAACGAGTGAACGAACGGAGGGCAGAGTTCGCTGCGAGAAAGGTCGCTGAATTAACGGCGAGTCCTCGTTAACGCGAGAACTCGTTACAGCGCGAGAATTCGTATGACAAGAGGGTTTTACCAGTGCGCTCGTTTCGTTACCGAATCCTGTCGAGTTTTCTTCTAGCTTTTGTTTATTTATCTCGCGACGAATCCGCGAACGCGTTCGTCGCCGAATCGGCCAGGTATTGGCGACGCGGAGAGGGAGGCCGCCGCCTCCGCGCGTTCACTCTCCGAGATTTCACCATCTCCGAACCGTTGTATTAATACAAAACTTCGTTACATCTCACGTTAATAATCGCCCGTCGATATGACCCGTCGGTCGAGGATTCGTCGTCGGTGAATCTCGTCGCGGAGAGAACTTCACGTTATCAGATAAAACGGTGCGCGTTGTACGGGCCGCTCGAGAATCGATCGTACAAATGGCTGAGATATGCGCGACGTTCGCAAGACGAGACGAACGGGACGGATCATACGAATCATTAATCGGACGTTATCTTAATAACAAATGAACGTCGGATGCGCTGGTGTTTATACTTTGTCCGCGCGATGCAATTTTATAAATATCCACATATTTTTCCACTTTTTTTCTCTCTTGCATTTTTTATAGCTCTGACACGCTTGTGCTCGATCATAAATGCGCTCTGACGTAAATGGTAATTCGAATGTCGGCCAATCGGAGCGAGATGTAACGCGCTACTATCCAATTACTGGAGTTACTTTTTGTATTTTCGATACACAGATTGATCGACACGGACGGGTGTCAATATAATTGACGAATGACGCAAAACGTCAGCACGTTAGACGCGATCTCGCGCGCGGACTTTTGCCTTAACAACATTAAATCTCAAAGTGCTAATTCATCCGACGAGACGCGTAAGATCCTTAACGTTTATATCTCTTGTTTACACGGTCCATTATTTATATCTTATTATTCCCAGGGCAGACCCGGAGTCAGATGAATATTTCGATGAACTCTTTAATATTTTCCTTATGAGAGAACAACCTGTCAGGTACGTTTATTCTAAGAGATCTGAGATTTCGGTGGACACTAATTGTCGTGGAAGTAACAAGACGTCGCGCTGAAATATCATATATTACTAATCGCGCGTCGTAATATACTGCGAATTGATAGAAGCCAGTTAAATCTGCCAGTTAAGTCTGTCTAACAGTCGGTTGAGGTTTACTCGAATATTTAAGCTCTACTAATTTATCGTGCTTGTGCATGTCCGTTATATAACATTTCGGATTCACAGAGAAAATGCGCTTTCTACGATCTTTATGGCAGTTGATCACACGATTACGATCGTAACGTGATAAGTGCGCCAATGAATTAATCGATGAATAATTTATTCAGCTTAAAACAATTCAATGCGCGAATTTGCAGGCAAAAAATCAAGACTGGATTTTAATCTTATTCGCATTTATAAAAACTCTACTTTTATCACGTTACATGAGCGTGCGACTTGTGTGCAGCGGAGAGAATTGACGCATTTCGCTAAAATGAACTTTTATTTAGTTATTAACAAGACGATATCTCTGTGTTTTGATAGGGAAAGACGGGAGTGTACGCCAGTCGAGGGAGTCGGGAACAACGGCATACAGATGGTGCAGTATGCCATGCCGGAGAGAGGCACCCTGAAATCCCTGTCGGATCAGCCGCCGAGCTCGAAGGACTCCATGTCACGAGGCCCAAGGTAGAGATTCGCGAAGAAGCTTATCGCACAGAGATATGCGGTTTTGCGAAATATCGTAAATGTTGCTGCGACCTTCTTCTCTTGAATCGCAATGCGATACGCGATTAGATTTTTATCGCCTCTGCGACTCAAAATCACATATCACCACTCAAAAGCACATATCACTTGCAAACGTAAAAAGTCGAACGCAATTTAAAATGACGATATGACGAATTAAATTAGCGATATGAAATCGCGTTTACGATACAAAATGGTGATTTGTCGCATTTATTGCGATTCTTGGGAAAGACCGCGATGTACAATTTCGCACATAAATCGCACATCTCTATTTTAACGGCACAGAAAGACGCGGTGTTGATGTAGTCGCTCGAACCTGTCTTTCTTTCTCTCTCTCTCTCTCTCTCTCTCTCTCTCTCTCTCTCTCGCACGCGCGAATCATTGTACGCAGGAAGCGGACAAAACATAAAGGTCGTTTCCGTGAGCCGAGCAGCGCAACGGAATTTTAAAGATCGCACCATCTGTAATCGCCTGTTGAGTTCGCGAGAGAGGGCGAATAATGTATTCATATATTCCTTTTTTTCTTCTCACGCAAACTTCTCCCCGGAAGAGAGATCCTGTTTTAGATATGACGTGAAAAGTCGCACGGCTACTGCGTGACGGAGTCCAGCCGTGAAATGTCGTGCGCGTATTATGAGCTTCTAACATAACAGGACATCGTTTCGCAGAAGCGAGAGCGTCACGCAGAACTCACAGCGGCATCATTAATCATGCAAACGTGTGCATCGCGATAAACTAAGACAGCGGTGTGTATACGGGATCGTAATTATTTACAGTCAAATATACACTGCGATACGATCGAGCCGCGAGTCTGTTACGAGCAAGTCCCGAATGGCCGTTCGCACCGGGCCTCGAAAACATCGCGGAATACGGATGCTCTTTGCAAGAGCATGAGAATTGTACGAGAGGATCGCGGCGAAATGCTACGAATAAATTAGCATCGATTGCGGAAGAATTCGCGAGAATTCGACAGCGGCTTCACGAGTGTCCGCGAGAATATTAGTCGCCGCAAAAATCAGCGTTTCTTTTTTTTTTGTTTTTACGCGCCTCTTTACCCGCGAACCAATCCGATTCGTTTGACACACGATCGAATTTCGTCTTTCAGAGTCTACGATGAACATTGCAACTCGTATGTTCGTCCAAACCCACCGCCTTACACTGGACCGTGCAACTCGTAAGTACCATTCAAGTCGCGAGAATACTTGTTCGTTAAATGTGCTTAATCGCGCGTCTGTTTTCGCAGTGCTGGTCTACGAACTGACTTCTGACTATGCGAGGAGCCCGCGAAGACGTGGTTTTGCTAACTAAATGCAGTTCGCGGGTGGCTTTGTCGATGTTACGAGATATGCCGTGAGAAATGTACTTATCAAACGGCTCTAAATTTGTCGCAAGTTGTCGCAGATGTTTTACAGGATGTTGCAGAAGTATGCGGTGAAATTTTAGCAGTGTCTAGACGCGGGTCTGAAAGTTCTTCCTTTCCAAGATGTGAACACACTTTTTCTGTACAATGCAGTTTGCTAATAATGCATATTCTAATAACAATTGCATCGATCCTGTTGGATCAACAGGAGGACCAATTGCGCGGTCTTCTGATTGAAATCTTCTGGATCTTATTTGTCGGGTGATTTTAAGATTCTCATACGCGATTAGGATAAGTTTTTATATTGTAGTTTAGAAAGTATTTCTAACTTAAGAAGAAAGCGCTTCCTCTGCCCACCAGTTTCTGAAACATCCCGTATATGCGCAACACTTATTATCGGTAAACATACGAGGTGTGGCTATGAAATAATCGAATTATGCGTGTTGAGAATTAACAAAGAGCTGAAGAGGGATGGGAGGGAGCGAACAGTTGAGCTTGAACATTCGCGCATCGAACAAGTCTATTTTCAGACCGTTAAGCCGATTAGTTGGCGCTCGAGCACCTTTCTCATGGGTGGATAGAATTTTCATCAGGACAATGTTCTGGCGTATACGAAACTGCCTATGAAGCAGTTTTTTTATCAAGAAACAAATATCAGTGCTAGAACTTACTCTATTCCTCGAATTTGGCATACTGTGATTTTTTTATTACTTTTCAAAATTAAGAGCATGTCGAAGAGGATCTAAGTAAGAGTTGCTGAGAGGTCAGAAATGGACTTGCAATATTGTTTTGAGTAATGGTAAAACTGTCCGACTGTACAGAATGTACAGACAGAGAAAAGGACTGCGTTGAAGGAGACAAAAATTAAATTGTACAATATCTCAGTGAAGTTATGTTAGAAGTAAAATCCGGTTATTCAACGACCACGCCTCGTATATTTGCATCATGCTTTTCAAGTGTTACGATATAGCTTGTTGTTAAATAATTGCTATCAACATTAAGTTTGCATCTAACATATCGTTCAGAAAATATTTATGTAGACAAGTTGCGAATATAAAGAAAACGAATATGTTCATGTTGGATCCCTTGTAACACAACGATCAGCTAGCATTCGTATAATCTTTGATGTGATTATATGTTTTAATAGTCGTAGCACGTTAGGTATTATTTTACATAAAAATTAAAAAATATATGTATAATATACTATAAAATTACGTTGCATTCCTTTTTCTATACTTTTATACATCTCAACAATAGGAAATTTAAATTGAAAAATGTTGCTTTTCTTATTCCATTTATATATGGTTAATCTTATTTATGGCATATAGCTCATTGATGAAACATTTTTGCATTTTCTTCTCATAAGGCAAAGGTAAGTGTACTTATGCAAAAACTACTTAACGAACTAAAAGTTATCGTTACTCAAGTCGGCTATTAAATGCACATACTTTAATAGAATAACAACCGTTAATTTCCCATCGGCCGCCATGTTAGTAATAGTCGTCTCGCTCATAAAAAATGGACATCTGTAAGACAAAACGCAAGATTTAGAATGAGAATGACGCGAACGTTTCGCGTCTGGATTGGAGACGTAGATACAAATAAAAGCTCTTGGCCGTGATTCTTTGAGTGATTATCGTATATTTACAGAAATATCTACGAAAAATACAATTCCCTCTCCCATTTGTTCTTTGGCGCCAATTTTTTCCCGACAACTTTTCGATAGCGCGTATTCTACATTCGCGAGAGAGTAAAGTGCAGCGTTGTTTCGAAACATAGTTACCAAAATTAAATTCCAAAGTACCGTGATGAAGTACGCAGGTGTCTCGGTGAAAGAATCTCTCCTCTCTTCTCTCTCCGGCGGACACGCGAATGCGATACAAATTTCGAGCACCGGCGCGTTCAACGTTTGTTTACGCACTAACCTAATCTGACGGACGACTGTCCACCGTTACGAACGGGGGCACCTGCGCATGCGCCGCGCATTGACGTAGATTACAGTGGATTACCCACGCAGCAGCTATTCAACAGGAACTCACGGCGAGGTTCGCGGCGTGCGGGTGTTGTGACTTTTGGCATTTCGTTTTAATCGCGAAAGGACGGACGTGTGACAATACGTAGAAGTAAATCTCCGCAATAATTATACCGTTCGTCGCACCGGTCATGGCTGGTATAGTGCCGTTGTCTAATAGATCCGGTAGGAAACAATGGACGCTACACGGTAATCATCTCTGACCTATGATTTCGCATAGTTCGAACATAAAAAATAGCACGGAGGAGAATTGGGCAAAGGCGCAGAGTGGTTTATGTGTGAAGCGCACATGACCTATGATTAAGCGCGCGTGACATAAGACAGTGGAATATTCGCGTTTGAAATGTTATTGTTTATGTGAACAAACAAAGAAAAGAGGCAAACGTACGAACGTTGTCTAATGAGAATTGGTTAAAATGTATAAACCAAGAGAGCTTATTCGTCACATCAGCATATTAGGTTGGATAAATCGATGATGGATAATAATTTGTTCGAAATCTTGGTTTAATAATGTTAATTTATAAAATATGTTTGTTTATTATCAACATGTTATAATTAGAATCAGAGTCATAAGTTATTGTTTATAATAAAAACTATGTCAATTTGATGCATTCAATCAAGTAATATTATTGTAATATTATAATTGTTAAAAAATTCATTTAGTGAAATCATATAATTCGCTTAAAATAACAACAGAATCCTTTGAACAGACGGACCCAAAAGTTCACTCAGGCGGTTACGTTCTCAATTGGCAGAGGATGGTTGTCCAGAATCTCAAGTGGTTTTGGCTAAGCAATTATTGGAGGAACGATGTGGTAAACACGATATTTTGTCAACCAAACATTCATCGCAATATTTTATACTCCACTTTAGTATGCGTGTGTAATCTTTATATTTTTAGATGATATTGATAAAGAGGAAAATGCTAAATTGGGTGTTTATTGGCTGACGAAAGCTTCAGAGCAAGGAAATTTAGAAGCCACTGATATTCTTAGGAAATGTTTAGCCACAGGTCGTGGCATCACAGAACATAACTATTGTGATGTAAAAAATTGTCTAGATATGACACAATATGAGAAACTAGCTAGAAGAGCAGCCAAGGAAATGTTTACAAGGTAAAAGATATGCTATTTTAAATATTGACATAGACCGATCGACAAGTAAAAAATATACTTTGCATATCATATATCAAATGTGAAGCTACATTTTCCATTGATCAGTTTGTCGAACGGCGAAGATTACATCACAACGCAACAATTGCAAAGATGTATGAGGAATGTAGCGTCGTCTCCGTCGACAAGTAATTCCGATTGCTCCCAATCAAACAATATCTCTTCGAATTCGTCGCAAAAGCTTAGCGACGACGATAATGATTGCTTCCCCAGAAACGAACTTACCGAAAATTCTTCACCTACAAAAGACGAAAACCGGGCAAACGATATTCGCGGTAAGAAAATCTCGTGAGATTTCTGCAACATGGTTACACTCTTGTGTGTATGTGTGTATATTCACTTCATGTATTTAATCACAGATTGGGCGGATCAACAGGGTGAGAAAATTACCGAAGCTGCTCTGGTCTCTGCAGCGGCGAGTTACGCGCGTGGAATGCTTCCAGTAGTGTCGCGCGTCCTGTGTACGGTAGATCCTTCCGAGCTCGAACTGGACACGATACCACTGCTGCAAAGATCACTCATACATCCGTTCGCATCACTGAAGCGTTTTCACAACTGGCTGGTCGAGAAGATCGGTCAAAGAACAGAGCCTATCAGAACATCGAATCTACATATTCTTCTATTCTTCTTATTACTTTTACTATACTCCTTATTCACTACAGAGAGCCTGATACTTTATGTACCAATGGCTCTCTACTACCTCTCATTCATGTTCATGGCGATGGCCACTTTCCAAATGCTTCATCGAAAGCGTGAGTTCAACGACTTCCGCGTATGGTCGGGCCTGTTTCTCAGCTACTCGGGCGGCAGTCTAAATCCCGAGGAGGCAGAGTACCAATTCTGCCGCAACAATCTGGAACCGTATGGCCACTTTTTCCTCGCCCTACTGTTGAACCTGATGATCTATCCTTTGATAGCTCACCAATGGACTCCACAATCGGACTTCACAATAATGGCGGTCGCATTTACTCTCATCACGCTATTCAATTTCATGTGGAAGGATTCGTCGAGGTTCCCTGACCTGTTGGCTCTCTTCAGCTTCGGTGTGCACGTACTCGCTAAATACCCTTACGAAATGGATATGGTCGTGGCGCAGAGCTGGCGATTTTTGGATATTCGAGTACCGACGTTCGCATCGTACGTCGTCGGCAACGGCATAGAATTTTGTCTGAATTTCCGCGCCGTGTTTTATCTCCTGATACCGGCAGTCTTCGCGAAGATGGCCGCGAGGGACGGTTGGCGCGGCACCTACCGTACTCTGATACCGCATTGCGTCACTCTAAGCTGGTGGCAAATAGCGGTCTTTAGTTCTCAAGGTGCAACATGGTTCGGTCTGATCCGAGGCGCCCTGGCGTTAGTTGTCATGGTATTATTTCTTCCAATCGCCGGCATCGCTTCGATCATCTTGCCAATCGTAGCCGCTGTCAAATACTTGTCAGAAAATGTCTTGGTAATGAGGATAGCAGTAACCGCCGTGCTCGGAGGAATGCCGTTTCTGGCCTCCTGGTATTTGAAAAGAACCAGGATGCCGAGATTTAATTGGATTATTACGCTCATTCAGGTATGCAGTGTTGCTATATTTTTTCAACATCTTTGATCCAGATTTATGTCTCTGTCAATGTTTTCTTGAGGGAAATTCATACGAGCAGTGATTTGGTTTGTAGATTACCCTCGGCATTGGCGCCGCGGCATTCTTGTCATGGCCGATTATAATGGAGCTCCCCAAGCAGAACCCCGATATAGCGCCGTACGAGGATGCTACCCTGACATGGGATCAGTATCAGAATTACTGTCATCAGCCCGCATGGGAAGAGCTGTCGTCAAAAGCTCAGGTGCAGATGCAATGTGCACAGTTGGAAGGCATGCCCGTTTCGTGGGAAGGCTACGTGACGAACATCAGATTAAAGTCGATAAAGAACAATATTGCGATCATAACGAATCGACTGTCCAGCAATCTTCGTACGATACTCTGTTTCTCGAGGTTGTGCGGGGAATTTTACCAGGAGAACTGCAACTCGGGCGACGAGGCTCGTAGGAACCATTGTAAAGACTTCACGAACATTCAGAAGAAGAGGAACAAGTGCCACTTTACGGCTTGGGATCAGTACGAATTTGAGATATCCGTTAAGATGAAAAACGGCATGTGGGGCAGCACGGAGATATTCCTCATCGCGGACCATTCCTTCACTAACTTCAGCCTACATATATATCCCGGTGACAAGATCTGGTTTTCCGGTACACTTTTGAACAATGGCTTGGAAAAAGAATCTCTTCTCGGTGGTTCTGAGCCACACATCGAACTGGAAGAGATTGGATGTCTTACGTGTAACTCTCGTGGCTTAAAGTCTTATAAACGTTATAGGTATGACATAAGTCTAAGCTCTATCACCAGGTATCTTTACCTTAGTATAAAGACTGTACTAAACTTTATGTTGAATCCAATTGTGATGTTCAAGTGATCGTATTCTACATGACTGAACTCTACTAAATTTCTTTAGCTTCTTAGGCTCAATTATCTAGCAGAACGATTTCGGTATTACTTTACTATTGCTAAAAAGAAATTGTTATCCGACATGTTTTAAGCATAATTTTATTTAAAAAGGAATATTCTGTTCACGTGCGAACTTTGTGAAAAGATTTAGATCGAACTTCAAATCAGAAAGAGATTGCAAAAAAATTCACGTGAATATTAAGAAGTATTAAGAAAATTTAACTTTAAAATGACGAATCTATGAATCTCCATGAGCTACAATATATTTATAGTGAAAGACATTTCAACATTAAAATGTACATAAATCTATTATTATAGATTTATATTCGTTTATACAACATAATGTAACGGGTCGTTTTATTATAATGGATTATTGTTTTACATATTATGATGCCATAAGTACACTATGCTGCGCAATAATACATACAGTAAAATCCAAATTGAAAGAAGTAACTGTTATATGGCCTGTAACTGGCGTGACAGTTGTTGGCTACGTGAGATGTGTAAAGCAACATTTCCTCAAAGTCTGACATATGTGTAAGCGTGTCAGGAATTGAAAAATATGAAAGTAGAAAATAGTGCAAGTGTTTTGATGTTACCGATGCCTCAGGCAATACATTATATATTAGGCTCATGAACAAGTCATAATCTGCTTCTTAGAGTATTCATATATTTTTAAGATTGATATATTTTCCTAAGCATTACTGCCCCTAAAAAGAAGCGTGAGAAAGAAGACACGCTTGATATTTTTGTATTCCGTTTACAGAGAATGATTCAAGGTGAAAATTTTATTTTTTCTCTCTTTATTCTTGTTTTAATAATCTTTTCGCTATTATACTGCATGAAATAGCTTTCTGCTTACCTTTTTATTTTCTTTTTTTTTATAACGAAATATCACTATAGTGGCTTTTTTGTGTAATTTTCATTAAGAATCAGTGAACAGCTTGTCGTTGCTGAGCAACATCTTGATTAAGTATTCTAAATACAAATCTCAATTATTATTAATTTATTAGCCATAAATTTATTACATAATGTAAAATAACAAATGTCAGTTACGCTGTTATTCGTTGTATAATGTGCAATGGCAAAACTATATACACACGGCAATAGAGTTTTGTGTCTAGTTCAGCTATAGCGAAAAGGTTAATATTGTATATAATGAAAATTATATTTCTTATTGCGTGTTATACGCTGTTATAGTGGAGTTTTGGTTATTATTGGCGAGCGAAAGCAGTATGCAACGCGATGTGAGCAACGACTTTAAGATTCTTCAGTTATCTACTATCATTAGATAGGAATATGATATTCATAAAAATTATGTAGTACCGGTTAAACTACTTAATTAATATTCTCTTAGAATATACATTGGACATAAGATTTAGTTACTTGAATAATGCGGATTTCAAGAATCACGGAAAATGTAATGTACGATTCGAACAAGTCGATGTATATTGATGTTAAGTGTTGATCGATGTTATCGATGTTAAATCTACGAATTATTAACAAGCATATCTGTCTGTATAGCTAAGGACAGTTTCATCATTGTATTATACAAAGACAATAGGAACCAAATAAGTATAATAGCAAAAAAGATAAAACAGATATAGATGTGCCTTGGTGTTTTCTGTTTGAGTGATTCTATTGTTGATAATAAAAGTAATCTATTTGCTTCTTCAAAGCAAAACAGATGAATTAAATACATTGGTACGTCAAGTATTAGCATTTTGATGTGCAAATGTATATTTTTGTTATAAACAATGTAGTCAGAAATATAGTATATAAAATAAAGAAAAAAGCACTATCTTATTCTAGTATCGATAAATAATAAGTTTTGATACATTTTGTTCCTCTTACAGAAAAAAACAAAATCATTTATTTTGTTACATATAGTATTATAGACATATTTATTTTATATTTGGCAACAAATTATGATACATCATTTTTTTTTAGTAACATCATATCAATAACAAGACATTTATTAAATAGTTTGGTTCCCTTCTTAATTTCCACATAAAAGAATTACAATACGGAATTATATAGTGGTTTTATATCGAAATACACAATGGAATCTCCCATATTGCAACTCAGATACATTACATTATATATGTAATATGCAGTGGCCCGTTTAACACTGTGAACATACGTATTTTATAAATGTGCACTTTTTAAAGAGTTACTGTGTCTATTGTGCAATATGGGAGCTTCGAATATAATGTTAATTTGCTTTATATACAGATATAAAATCTATGTTAATAAAGTCTTTTTCACCGTAATCTAATCTAATTTATAATTTAATCTAATCTAATCTATATACGAAAATAATTACTCAATGTAAAATAAAAATAACCGCGCAAGTAGAAACTATATTTTATTTAAGAGATACGTCTGTGATTATTTTTTCTACCTTTCGTTCCAGAAAAAATACACGGTAACATTCTTCATAAATATACTTGTGAAACATTATCGCGACTCTTATCATCATTCCTATTTATTTCTATGTTTCTTTAACCTTTTCGCTACGGCTAAGTTGGACGCAAAGCTTTGCTGGCAGTTTAATATAAAATAACAGCTAATAAATTAACAAAATTTTTATTTTTAATATTCAAACAAATCTACAAGTTATAGCAGAAAGCCAATACATTGGCGTTTTCCATTCTTAACAATCGCCACTGTAATAGCCCGTAGCGAAAGGGCCATGTGATGTTTTACAATTGATAAAATTATTTATTAAAATTAGCTCCCCACTATTTACTCAGATCTGTACAGATTTTAAAAAGATATACTGTTACACATATCTGGAGTGTTTTGGCCTGAGATTAATAAATTAACAAACAAACAAATTCTACACAAGTTCTCTCCAAATCTGTCAAATAAAAAGTTAGCAATATGTACATGATAGTGTACATTTAAAAGTTATAACTATGAAATCTTTTTATCATATGTTTGCATTCATTCGTGTCATCTTAGGTGAGTTATGTTTATACAAATTTATCTTGTCAAATATTCGTGTCATTCGGAGAAATAACTTTGGTAAAGAAACTGTACAGATTGGAGCATAATTCATGGTACAATCGAAGAAACGAAAAATAACAAGAATATAAAGTAACATTTGTTTCTTCAGACAAATTTTCTCTTCATCTTATTTCTTAATTATTTCTGGCATTTTCGGATTCTATTATGCCCTGTCCTTTTATAATATCAATGTATATTAACTTCAACTGGGACATTACGGTTTAAAGTATAAATGTAGCAACATTCCGTGAATTTACGTAAATTGTTAGAATGTTCGTACACACACATACACACACACACACACATACACACATACATATAATCGGTATAATAGTTTTACCACATAAAATTATACCATTCTTTTATGCAGTATGAATTTTTTTGTTTTTTTTTTATGGAAAGTTGTAGAATAAAGTGGTATATTTATGAATTAAATATATTATACCGATCGGTATATGTGTATCTCTTCCTTTACCCTGAATATCTTGTTTGCGCAAAAAAATTCTGCCTTGCTTCTATTTTTGACAAGATAAAGCAAAGAAGACAGTCTTATGAGTACCTACGTTTAGGTATAAAAAATCCTGTATAAAGAAGAAACCAATGTAAACTTATATTCAAGAAACCCTACGCAAGGAATAATTAGTAGAAGCGTTTTCTTTTATTTTCTTGCTGTTTTTGATATAACATAATGATACCGATGACACAGGCTATTATTACCAATGCACCAAGTAACATGACTAGGAACAACTTTATGCCACTCATAGACTCTTTCGGATCTTCTATGCGTGCTAGAACAATAAACTGATATTAGATAAATAGATAAAGATTAGATATGCGTGTAATATCTTGTTTGTTTAAATACGTACCTCTTGGTGGATCGAAGAATGCTGCTGATGGCACAATATGAGATCTATCTTCTTGATCTTTTGGCTGTAATTTAATATTATATATGTAATTTATATATATATATATGTTAAAAAAGTTTAAATAATTTTAATGTTGTGATATATTATTAAGAAAACAATAATTCTGTATTTACATCGTCTGGTAAATCCAATTCAAACAGACGAATCGACAGTATATCATGATTGTCAGAAAGGTCACCCGTGGTGGCTGAAATTCCAATATAGTATCCTGTTGGAAGCTTAATCTCTTTCACTGAGAAACATTCTTTCCATGCCGCTTTGTTAGAAATGTCCTTAGAAACTACATAAAACATGATAAAAGAAATCAATTTTGTGTTAATTAAATATGCATTAACATTACACATAGACAATTTGAATAAATATGTTGGCAAATGAAGGAGAAACTAATTATAAAGATACAATATTTGAGATATTATGCTTAATAAAAAAAATCTCAATACATTTTAATTCACAACTTTATTTTTCATTTTACATACCAGTTAAAGTATCTCTTTCATATCTTATAGCTATATGAGTATCATGTTCTAAATTTCTGAATTTTGCTTCACATCCAGCAAGCTGTGTGTGAGTGCCATCACGGTCATGATCATAATGCAAAGACCCATTGTTGATCATTGCTGAGACATAAGGATGTTGATGCTGTTTCAAATAGATTGCATGTGTATTAAAGAGAAACAAACAACATATATATATATATGTGCCCTTTGTTAATTTGATTTTGAAATTTCCAAAAGTCAGTAAGTTAACAAAAGTCAGGGCGCTATTGTAACAATATATTCTTGAGACTAAATAAAGCAAAAACGTTTAGTACCACTTTTTCTTCCGACAAATAGTTAGCGAGATATCATAAATTAGATATTGAAAAAGTTATCAAGTTTTCCTCAAATCTCAAAAAATATTAGGCAAATAAAAAATGTTTTAGACAACAGTTGTTCAAATTAATTGGTAGAAAAAAACAGTAATAAAAAATAGGGGTTCCCATTTAAAAAATGCAAGTTGATCTTCAAATGACCTTCAAGGTCAAGGTCAAATTTGAAATCACAAAAAAACAACTTTATAAACTCTAAAATTTTTGTTCGGGTCATTTTTTCCTATAATGCATAGATTCTAAGATAGGGAGGAGTTCGTTTTGGAAAACTTGGTATAAATCAAAATCATATTTAACTTACATTATGTGGGCCATTATGATTGCTATATGTATCAAGTATTACTGCTAATCCTTGAAAATAATCTTCATTTCCAAATACTGGACCTGGCTTCATTCTTTCTTTAGCATACCAGATGACAAAACCATCTCCAAATAAGTCCTTTCCTTTTCCATGTACTTTAAATTGAACTTGTAATTCCCAGTTTCTCACATGACATGGCTATAAATTAATTTGAAAATTAATTTGAATTAGTAGATATTATATTTTGTGTACATATTTTCGTATGAAATTTAACATACCTTGTAAAAAATATAAGTAAAATACTTACAACAGAATTCCATAAGGCACCTTGCTTGCTTTGTAAATCTGGCGTTAGTCTAATATAATTATTTGTTACCATTGTACTTCCCATAAAATCCCAATAAGGTATTGTCATACCTGTTCCTGTATATCACAAAATGTTGGGACTATGATATGTATAGAATATTCCAAAATTTATACATTATATTAACACCATAGGAATATCTTTGAAAAACTTAATTTTTATTTTCCATTTTAAGCAGTATTTTTAGATACAAATATTTTGAATTGAATTTATGATATTAATGTTAATGTTCTAGATTATGCAATATCAGATAGATTATGGAAAAATTTGTATAACAATTAAATAGCAAACATGGATTGGAGGATATAAATCATTAAATTTTAATTCATGAATATTTTATTATATCTAACAATACACATACATATTGTAATGCAACAGAAATTAATAAATATTGAAAGTAGATCACTTGATGATGATATTGCCTTGCAGCCAAAATAACACATAGTGAATAAATAGAATAAGATATAAAAATACAGATATGTAGATATATAAATTCCAAGTCACATGATAATATAGACAATATTCGTGGCAATTGTTAGGCAATTGTGCCAGTAACATGATGGTGTATGTGAATCATGGCCGGACAACAGGAACAAATTGGCCCGAAACTTGAATATGCCGAGAACGCAGACATTGTTATTTTTTGTACTGTATCTTTCTCACTTTAGTGTATCTAAGACTTTTTACATTATGAGTCACGATGAACTGTTCTAATGCACAGGTGTAAAATATGCAAGCGTTTTATTTATTATCATTATAATATACAGCGAACAAAGTCCATGCGGTACGTTCATTTTTATGCACAGTAACCTCAAATTTGGGACAAGAGTGATTCGTAGGGGGTTGCAGGTTGCGCGAATATAAATCTCTTTCTGTGCGCGATAAAACGCGAGAGAGCAAGAAGTTATCCGTGGCGATAAAAATATTTTCGAAAAATGCGAGAGAATATAATTGAAATCGGCATACCTTGGTATGGCCTAATCAGAGAATGTTCTCGTTTCATATAGTCCTTTGTATTCCATTCCGCAGCCCACGACGTCAAAATACCGCTAATCAAGAGCCACAACGTCGCCTTCATTTTTCGTGGTCAGCAGAAGCGCGTTTTGCACGGCAACAATGACTTTAAAAAAATTTTTTAATCTGTGAACGATTACAATGCATAATCCAAACCAACCGTCACTACAAGAACTACTTGACTAAAAACTGCTCACGCACTATTCCTCCAATCCTCCCGGCAAATCGACGTCATCGACAAAATATGCTACAGATTGCTGATCTTACGGCACTTAGATGCAACGTTGGAAAAATTCATGGTATGCCAACGCCATCTCGACGAGTAGTTCAACGATTAGGCTGAGATTCTTTAAATTCCACAAATCTCATCAGCCCGAAATCACAAAGACTTCTTACGATATTCATTTGATGATTAATTATTATGCAGATCTTTTGTAAATAAGGCACATATTTTGGTCGTGGTATTATATACTTTTATGAAATTTCATGGACATCGTCCGTATTGCCGTGTCGAACATATCGACTCTGAGATTTCGAGAATCATAATCGACGCGGTCTTTAGTCGTTTCGACAGTACTTTTCGTATTAGCATGAGTAATCCGTATAATTGTGAATTTGAAAATCACTTGCACAAGAGAGAAAAGAGAGAGACCCGCGATCTTTTGTTTTGCGCAGTTTGGTTAAGAAGTGATACTCAAATTCACAATTACACGAATTACCCATGTCACTAGATGGATGTGGATGTCGATGTGGATGCGAATACAGAGAAACGCAGAAAAGCGCAACAAAACGCAGAGAAACGCTGAAAAACGCAGAAAAATACAAAAGAACAATGAGTAACTCAAAAAGACGAAAGAAAAAAACAATGTGGATGTGGATGCGGATGAGGGTGTAGATGTGGATGTGGATGATGTGCATGAGGATGTGGATGTGAATGATGTGGATGTGAATGTGGATATGGTTGCAGATGAGAGTGCAGATGTGGATATGGATGTGGAAGTGAATATCGCGGAAAAACGCAAAAAAAATGTTTTTCAGCATTTTTCTGCAATTTCTGTGTTTTTCCGCGTTTTCCTGCATTTCTCACCGTTTTTCAGCGTTTTTTTCATCTTTTTGCAATATTCAGCATTTCTTTATATTTTTTTATCGTTTTTCTGCAATTTTCTGCGTTTTCCTACGTTGTTCAGTGTTTTTCAGTGTTTTTTCGCTTTTCTGTGTTATTCAGCGTTTTATGTATTTTTCTGCGACACCACATCCACATCTACACCGCATTTTGTATCATTGCTAGTTTTCCGCGCGGTCTTGAAATATTTCTTCCCGAATTGCGAGCAGTCCATTGTGTGAAAGATGAGAAGGCGAAGGGGCAAGATAGGAGAGATTTTGGTTTACCTGGGCTTACCGATAAGATTTGCCGCTGACTCGTGCCTCCTGTCGCGCGTACGCTCATCGGTGGTGCGATAAAGACGGAGAGCGATTGATCATCTGTGCTTTTCTAACTTACTATCTTCCTTAAAGAAAGTAAAGTGAACAAGAACCGTGTATGCTTTGCCATTACCGTCAAGACGGATGTAATGTGCACACATTTCCTCAGGGGACGCAACAGAATTCGGTGGAAAAAGCGTCCCAGCGTAATCGGCCCGATGGCCGCTCTCAGATTTCTCTCTGCATATAATTTTATTTACAGTACAGTCGGGTATAATAGAGTGCAATCAAATTGTATTATCACTGTTTTATTACACTGCGTGTAGCTCCGAATTAAATCGATCTATCATCGATTGCTTTCACTCGCACTTCGTACACTTTATGCAGATAAATAGTTCCACTACGGAATAAATGAATCACCGCGATTGGTCGACTCAGCTTCCCGAAAATCCCGCTTATGGCGCTGTTCGCAGTTGCATTCGTATTTAGTTATGGCGCCGGTTACGGGTTGTGTAGTGTACGAGAAACCGTCGATCATGATTTCTTGTAATTTTGACTCGCCGTAGCTGAGTCTCGTGCCTTAAATCGTTACCGGAAGTCCCGAAAGTAAGTTTCGCGCGTGTATTATGGTGGAATGACGTTCGTTCCGTCGCGCGAAGTGAAGTGAAATGAATCGTCGAATACTGAGGCAAGTTCAACGCGCCAGCTACGTAAGGGCAGGTTCGGTTTTCGCGTCGCGGAGCTTCGTTTTCGACTCGTCAGCCGAGCCTCGACCGCGAATTATCGTTAAACATTGAGGTATGGCACAGCTTTCGTTAAATATTCGCTGAAAATGTAAATTGTTCGTCGGGAGGGTCGAGTAAAGTTTTGGGAATTTTTTCTGTCATGGCCGACTTCTTGGAATATTTCAAACGGAACGGACAGTTTCGAACAGAATATTTTGATTGACTAGTACGCTAGTGATACGTATTCACCGACATACACACACATTGAAAATCGCGACCGTTGCGTTGCATTGTAATATTTTCATGACTATATATTGATCTATCATTTTTCTTTACATTAATTTCAACATTTCGGACTTCATAATTCTGTAACTGAATTCTGTTAAACTGATTTGGTATCTATTTCATCGTTATTTCCAATTTAGATTAGCTTCTTATTGCATACAATTTATTAATTTATACTTGGTAACTTATCATTTTCGCATCGATCAATCTAAACATATCGGCTTCAAATTCTCCATAATGCGTAGGCGCAATTGCGCAAATTGCAACGTTGTTGCAATTTGTGAGGATTTTAGTTATTTTGGACCTAGATTAAAACCTTATCACTCATATTTCGTTAATTAATATTTCGTAACCTGTCATTTCCGAATCTGCCACTTTCCAATATTTCGTGGCCTCTAACTTCGAAACGCATAATCGCAGCTCGATGCGGTTTACGAGGATCATAGTTACTTTGGATCTAGATTAAAACCTTATTACCCATATTTTGATAATTAATATTTCATGACAAGTCATTTCCGAACCTGTCACTTTTCCATCCTTCGTGACCTGTAACTTTAAAACACGTAATCGCATTTCGACATGGTTGGCTCGGATCATCCTTATTTTGAACCTAGATTAATATCTTATCGCAAATAATTTTGCAGTTTATACCCGGTGACCCGTTATTTTTGCATCGGTCGATCTCGACCTATCAGCTTCAATTTCTCGATAACGCGTAGACGCACGTCATTGCAATTTGTGAGGATCTTAGTTATTTTGGATCTAGATTAAAACCTTATCACCCATATTTTGATAATTAATATTTCATGACCGGTCATTTCGGAGCCTGTCACTTTTTCAGACAGCATCGGACATCCAATGGATGTACGTTTCACGTCCAGTTTATGCCCGTATGTCCGATTTACGTCCGTGGACATAAATTGGACGTAACAGGGATGTCCTTATTGGAAATCGGACCTGTAGAACGTCCGATGTACGTCCATCGGACGTCCTGTGTCCGAAGTTGTGACAAACTTACGTCCTATGGACGTCTTTCATAAAAAAAAATGAACATATAACGGACGTCCAATGGACATCCGTGTTTTGTCTGGGTTTCCATCTTTCATAGTCTCTAACTCCGAAACGCGTAAGCACAGCTCAATGCGGTTCACGAGTATCTTAAACCAGCCGCTCACGGTGCTTGTTTTCATGCTGGATTGCTTGCTAGATGAAAATACTGCATTCTGATTGGTACATTTCTGAAGATAGATGGAAATGCACCAATCAGAATGCAATATTTTTATCCAGCAAGCAATCCAGCACGAAAACAAGCACCGTGTGCCGCTGGCTTTAGTGATAAGATTTGCCGCTGACTCGCCTCGTGTCTCCTCCTGTCGCGCATACGCTTATCGGTGATGTGACAAAGACGGAGAGGGATTAATTGTCTGTGCTTGTTTAACTTACTATCTCGTGTAAGGGGAAGCAGAGTGAGCAAGAACCGTGCATGCTTTGCCGTTACCGTCAGGACGGATGTAGTGTGCACATATTTTCTCAGGGGGCGCGTCGGAAGTTGGCAAAAATAAGCGTTCCGGCGTAATCGGCCCCATTGGCCGCTCTCAGGTTTCTCTCTTGGTCTGTTCTTTGTAGTTGCACTGTTGAACTAGTGCAATAAGTTGAAGTGAGACAAATATAGCTTTTCTCACTCTAGCTTATTGCACCAATTTAGCAGTGCAACTATAAAGAACAGACCATCTAGCTGCGTTTCGATATTCACTGCCAGTGCTGAATATCTATAGTATATGTGACACAAATTATATATATGCAGTACTATCAATGAATATCGGAACGCAGTCTCTGCCTCGTCGGTGACTGTACGGTCGCGGACATAAAGGTTGTCACTTTTTTTTTAATGACTTTCGGGACGCATCCCGACTCGAGAAAGATGAGAGCTGCTGCTCCGCCTGCGGAGCACGTTTACGCAGTAACTCACAACGAAAGGCGAGAAATGAAATATACGTGGTATGACATAAGTATGTCAACAATCATTGCGTTCAGCGGAGAAAACCGCTCAGTGAGCGATTAGTGACTAAATAAATACGATTTCACTTAAAATTTCATATACATACAATTTCATATACCTGTTCAATACCTTGCAAAAGGCGCATTCCCATTTGAATGACTTGCACTATGTATCTATCCCTCCGCTGCTGATTTTTCAAAATGTAAGAATTGGGTGCGTTCACGACACTCAACGGTTGAGCAACTGTTGAATAATTTGTCAACGTTATTGGTCTGAATGTAAGAATCTAACAGTAAGGACTAATAGTCACTAATCGCTCATTGAGCAGTTTTCTCCGCTAAACGCAATGATTGTTGACATACTTATGTCATACCACGTATATTTCATTTCTCGCCTTTCGTTGTGAATTACTGCGTAAGCGTGCTCCGCAGGCGGAGCAGCAGCTCTCATCTTTCTCGAGTCGGGATGCGTCCCGAAAGTTATTAAAAAAAAAGTGACAACCTTTATGTCCGCGACCGTACACTCTCGTGTCGCTTGTCGCGACCGTTGTCGCGCACATTCATATTGCGCGCGCGCGTACATTTTCTGGCATGCGTGCGTACGTTCATAGTGTTTCGTCGTAGTTTCTCGGCGTTGCATGGCGTCTTTCGTCGTAGTGCGTACGTGCGCTTGAATCCGACAGACTCTGTTCGTGCGGCAAGAATACCGGCCCCCCCCGCATTCGTACCGGCGATCCTACGTCGCGATTAGTCGGCCGCGACGAGAGTAAGAAAGGGCGACTATTAATATTTTGAGCTGAGGAGGCGAGATTTTGGGCGAGAGAGCGAGTGAGTGAAAGAGAGAGAGAGAGAGAGCGAGTGGGAGAGTGAGTGAGAGAGAGTGAGAGAGAGAGAGAGAGAGAGAGAGAGAGAGAGAGAGAGAGAGAGAGAGAGAGAGAGAGAGAGAGAGTGAGAGTGAGAGTGATAGAGAGGTGTGAGAGGGAGAGTGAGTGTGTGAGAAAGATAGAGAAGGGTAAGAGGGTGAAAAAAGGAGATAAGAGCAAGGTATAGAGATATTATTTGTACACTAAGTGTGGGGAATCTCACGCGGGCTTACACTGCGTTTGCACGAAGTAAGACCAGATAAGAAAAAGGGCGTGGAGTATTACCGCGCGATTAATAGGCACGCCGCTAAAACATATCGTGGCCATGGGTAAGACGCCAAAGAAGGCGGCCCCTGGGGGCGATGAGAGGAATTTGTACGTTCGGAGGCTCAAAGCAACGACCGCGCCGTCGAAAGCTTCTGAATCTAGCTTGCCCGAGAGACAGCGCGAGTCCGAGAATTCGAAAAGGTTTGTAGAACCAATCAGCAAACAGCGAATTGCAAGTTTCACCAGAGTTTCTCGGTTGGATATGCTTGTGAGACGCTCTCTTGTATCTATCCAATTGACTCCAATGATTCCAGAGTGAGGGAATGCGGATTTGTAGTAATAGATTGTTTGTAAATTGGGTTACTTGGTGCAACATTTGGAATTATTTAAGTGCTTGTTGTAGATTTCAACTATTAGAAGAATATTAGAGCTGTGTACTTTGTAGAGTTAATATTTGATATCTGCTAGGAATACTGCAAAATTCTGTACTTTGTCTCATATTCTCAAGTATAATACACATTTATAAACATAATATATATACTTTGTTTTGGAACAAATAGTAGTTAGTATATTTGTGAATTTAGAGAATCGACTTTGAAATAGGAATCACATTGTTGTGAGATTCAGCAGAATAAATTGATATTTTTATAGTGTTATAATGATGCATGTATATGAAAATAGAGATATCTTTATTCCTCAGATGACATGAGAAACTTTGGTTTACTTTCTTTCACATATTTTTCAATTAGTACCTCTCATCACCACCAGTATTTCTTACTCAAAGGCCATATTTGCCATATGGTTTAATCTTTTCATTGATTATGATTATCTTGTTTTTGTTTCAGACCAAAACCGGCTAGTATTCAGAAAAACATCTCTGGTGGATCTGGAAAAAACTTTAAGGTATATATTTTTAATTCTTTCCTATATATCTGATATACTTTCAGTTCTTTTTTATTTATTTTAATATATCAATTTATTTTAATGTATTCATAATATATTTACAATTTTCATTATGAAAAGTTAAGTTATACAAATATATGATATAATTATTTTAGGCTGTATTGCAATCTGAAAAATTTTTTAGACTGCTATTTATAGTTAATTATTTTACTAATAGCATAATTTGATTATTTATCATTTCTGATTATTCATCAATTTATGCTTGTTTTATGCAAAAAATATTGATTCTAAAGCTGAATATAATATGCATCTGAATCTATAATCTAATTAATTATGTTTTTAACCAAAATTTGTAAATAATTTATGATCAGTTGTCTTAACTGTGTGCTATAATATGTTTATAATTATTAAGATCATGATTGGGTGTATAATATGTTGTATATTATCATCTTGTGCAATATTATATTCTTATCTCTTATGGCATAGCTGATATTTGAAAAATAATCTTGTTCAATTTACTACCATTAAGATAGTCTTATCTTTTATTACAAATTTGATATGCTTATCAGTATGGTGTATCGTTTTATATAATAATTTTTTAATATGTTCACACTATAAAATGAATAATTTTTATGAATATTATGTCATATATGTATTTTGTTGTAAATACTGTGTTGTATCAATAATATTCATGTTATTTATATGTTTTATAATTATTAATATTTATAAATTTAATTTTTTTACTAATGTTAATTTCTTCAAATAATTATTAGTAAAATAAAATAATAAATAGTGAATTTTTTGTTCTAGACAGATAGATAATTTATATTATACACAATGTCCTTGAATTTAACTTGTTAGGGTTAATTTTTGCAATGTGGAAATAACATATGTTGTAGAGCAAACTTCGGGCTCCAGCAAAAGTTGGTTCAAGCCAAGCAACAAAACAATTAAAACTATCAATGAAAAATTTCGAAGCAAAAACTACAGACATGCAGCCGGAATCGGAGGAAGCTCTTGTCAAATTGGATGTCTCTGTCCAAGAGGAAAGTGTTAAGGAAGATATGTTATTAAATACCAGTAAAGCTGCTAAGATCGAGGAACCTGTTACTGCTAAAGAAGACATTAATGTTAATTCTGAACAGACATCAAATGAACCTGAAACTTCTCCGAAGATTGTCCAAGAAGTAGTGTCCACTGAGAACGAAATTGTCCTAGAAAAAGAGGGAGTATTATCGGAAAATACTTCTAACATTGAAGCCAAAGAAGTGGAGGATCAAGAAGAGAATGAAGTAAAGTTAATACTCGAGGTTGAACAAGATCTTATGAAAAATGGAGAAGAAAAGCCAGAGGATAAACAATCGAAGGATGACAAGGTAGAAGCTGTAGTTCAAGAAACTGTACAGGAACCCGTTGTACAAGATGAATTAAAAAACGGTGTACATGAGAAAGATGAGGTACAAAGCGAACTCCAAACAGATACCGAAAGCTCAGTGGAAATTGTCGAGTCCACAACGTCTGAGGTATCGGAAACGTCAGAACCCGTTACTCAAAGTAATATGCTAAAGGGTCAAGAAAAAATCGATGACACCTTAAATGATGTGTCATTTATTTCTTACGACTCAAATATAATGCTTAAAGATGTACAAATCAAGCTCAATGATTGTCTCAAAGATAATTCGAAACTCTTCGATGAAAGCAATACAGAGGATATAATGAGTCAACTTTCAAAGGAATCGTTCGGGAAGACGCTTAGAAACATCTCTGGAAGACATTCGATCAACAGAATGCGTCATCTTGGTTTTCACGAGAAGAGGATATCACCAAATAGTTCTTTATTTGTGAATACATCGATGATATCAATACCTCAAGATGAAGGGGCAGAATCTAAAGTTTTACATTACAATAGTACTCTGTCCGAGAGCTTCCCCACGAATGGTAGCTCATTGGATAGAAAACGCAAAACTGACACACCGATCTGGAATCCAACTAAAAAGCAAAAAGTGGAAGCTGAGAGTAGCCTTTTAGGCACACCCATGAGTCTTCTGAAAGGCTTTCGCAGACCTATTCAGATATCTACACCGAATATCACATCATATAAGTTCGAATCTACCAAGTTAGATATTAGCGGGATAAAGGATGATGACAATAAAATAACAGCTGAATCAACCGAAAGTACAAAGAAATGGTGTGTCATCATGTAAAAAATATCGTGAAATAATCGTGTCAATACATAGAAAAGAAAGAATTTCTATATTTTCGTGAGGTACTACAAATTTAACGATCAAGAATATTGACACTATTGTACATCGTCTCCGAACATTATTTTGCTTTCTATCAAAAGATTAAGACCCAAAATAAGAGATCGTTTTCTCACGTTCCTAACATTTGCCCGAATAGGGGAGAGGGTACATTTTTCCTATGAATTCTTACAATTTTTGAAAGTTCTCGTGTTCTTTACGGAGAAACATTAAATAATAATAATGTGCGTATTTTTACCGACTAAATTTTAATATAGCCCAATATTCCCACCGTGTAGACTTTTAAAATTATAACATGTTCTTTATATTCACTAATTCACTAATCTGGGGACAAGCTTATCTGAAAGGGAAAGAGTAAAATGTGTGGTATGATGTCAAGAGTACAATTCTTTCAACTTTTTACATGACTATCGTACAAGCAAAGACTCTATTCTATAAAGTTTACCGATTTAATACCGGCATAATATAGAATAATTAAATCTACATGTATAGAAATGTAATATGTATCTAATTTCGATACATATCTTAATTTATGTATCGCGTATAATTTGTATTTATCTCAAATGTAATTCCCTAGATAGATTTATGCGTGATAAATACGCAGATGAATAGGTTTTATTCTCTCGTTAATTATAAGTAGAAATAGTTCTCCGTAATATGTAACGTTTCATCTTAATCTAACAGAATATTCACTTGAGAATAATTTACATATTATTTTATACATATTATGTTGTGATTACACGAAGCTTCTGTTAAATTCCTGCTCTATACATGACATTTATTCACGTACAGTATATATCATGTAATGCTATAAAGAAACATATCTCTTTGTTTTTAGTTGTTAATGAAGTACATTTGCATTTCGTTAAAATTGTTATTTTGTCCTTTTACAAGGATTTTATCGAAAATGTCGCGATATATATGTTGTACACGACTGAACTGTTCCGATCGACTTTTGAAAGCTAATTGTAACATGAACGTAATCATAATTTTCTAGTTATAGCAAGCCGTTATTATGAGATGAGTTGCAGTGTTACTTTCGTTTTTACGGATGCCAACAGCTCTTGACGAGATTTATTTCGTTCTATTGAAATATTTTTATTGACTATCACAGATATGATATCCATCGTACAGGAGATACAACAATTATTGCAATGTTATATATATGTAATTCTTTAATTAACCAATATATAGTTTTCATATTATTTAGGAAAGCGATGATTGTCTGTGCAACTTATTCGGTGTAAGAATACTCATTAATGTCTACCACTACAAACATGTCTTTTGCAGCTGTAAGGAGTTGTGTGTGTACGGTATAGATACAGAACTGTATATTATCATACAGTGTATCTTAAGCGAAATAGGAGGAATGGCAGAAGACAAAGAGAAAGATATATATGTATACATATATTGACAGAAGGATCTCATTTCGTATGCGACATTTTTTAAACAATTTGCATATTCAAAGCTTTTTTTCATCTGCCATAAATGTAGGTATATCTTTGTGTCATCCGTTAAAGGCGTTATATCGCCTTTATATTCAATTTTGTTATCGGATATACGCATATATATTAAGCCAGCTGTATCCGTTTGACCTTCCATCGTATATGGTAAATGAGAGTTAGGAACGATTAAGACAATTCGACCAAAGTAATTTTTCGGTGTCAGTCGATCTATTCGTTTAGACCTGTCCGAAGTAGTTATTAATTACTAAAGACGTACATAATGTATTGTGAGGAAAATGTCCAATTTATGAGGCACACAAACTAGGCAATTTTCTCACTAATATCACGAAGGAAAAAGAATTTAGATTAATAATTATTCAGGACTAAACGAGTAATCATTAGACATACTTTTATACTTGTTCAATTAGTAGGAGCTTTAGAAGCATATCCAAGAGTGTACATAGGAATTTACGAGATTTATAATAAATTCTCGAAACTGAATGCTTCTGCATGGACGTTGATTGCTTCATTGAATAATTAACGAATAATTAATGAATTTTAATTTCAGTGCCGCCGTGAATGAGTTTTGATGTTAAACGTGATGAGCTCGTTGTGCTTAGTCGTGTAGAAGCTTATCGTTTATCTTATTGTTATATATCAAAACGACTATAAATTTATAAAGTTATGAGGTTACTAATTATTTGAATTATTTTAAACATTTACGCAACGTATCTTTTATTATTGTTATTAGATTGTTACCAGTAAATCTTTATATTTTTTTTCAAACATTTGTTTTGCACAAAACTGAGAGCGGAAGTAGAAAAAAATTCTGTCGATGATATATATTCAGAAAAGGCTCATCGAAAGAGCGCGTTCGCGCATGAAAATGCAATGGACTGCAGCGGGATGCAAGAGTCGACGGTAAAGTCCCAAGAGGTTTAAGCGGGTAAAGGAATAATCTCGTATCTCATTCCTTTGATCGCATTCCAGAAATGTGGCATTAAATCAACAACAGCGGAATATGCCACGCCGGACAGGGTGGCCTAGTTAAGTTGATACTGGTAACTCAAAGGACAGGACCTTGTAAATTGTTAATCACATTTCATAGTTTGCAGGTTTAGTTGAATGAAATGGTAAACGTCGTCATTCCCACATTGCTCAACAATTATCTATAATTGTGATCGATATATAATGTAATTGGAAATAAATAATATATATAATGTAATTTGAAATAATAATATATAATTTTTAAATGTAATTTACAAAATATACAAGATCATGTCGTCGCGTTAAAACTTATTCCTCATTATCTGTGCGGGAAATGTAACAATATATAATTTAATTCTTTCTATATAGTTTAATTCTTCCTATGACGATTTTTCGTATCGCATCTCGTATCGTTATTTATTTTAATTATTTTCAAAACTAATTTATGTGTTATTAATGCGTAAAAATTAATCGAATCAAATCTGTTGCATTATTTATCTCAATATTTCTGTGTACTAATGTTATTACGAATATATTATTACAAATACATAGCAATTACATAGCAACTCAGAAAGCATTTGCTGCTATAAGATTATTAATAACTGTCGAATAAGATGAGGAGAAACAGGTGAATCTTCTTGAAGCATATAATTTTCGCTGACAGATTACGCGATATTTCAGGTCTCAAGTCCTCCTTTCAAATGAAATTGAGCCTTAGCTGCGCTTTAATAATCATGATTCATCTGTTAGGACAGATGTCTGTCTTGAGATATTAATTTTCGTAATTAATGCTATTAATTTCCCTATTTTATTTGTTTTCGCCTCTCCTTTAGATAGGATAGGATATGCATTGATAAAAATGACGATGAATGTTTTATTAAGATGTTTTATTGTTAATTTGTGTAATTTTATCGCGGATGTAAAATACGTAATACACAGTATCCCTTTTACAAGAAATATCAAAATTAGAGTTTATCCATTAACGAGACATCAATTATTGTATTAGTATTGTTACTTAACGTAAAATTCATACACGTTGAGCGATAATCCTTAGCTTACGATATAATGTATAAATTGTTAATGTTTTTGAATATTATAAAACTATATTTCTTATATATTCCTTTTTCATCGTGTTTTTATTATTCTACATCTCTCGGTTATATTTTAATCATACTGGGTAGATATGAATAATTTGTACAGCTTCGATTTCGCGAGAACTTGCGAATAAGTCGAATAATTCGCTAATCGCTGTATCAAAAAGAGACATTTTCAGGCAAAGTTATCATGAAAAATGTAGGTATTATGTATATAAAAAGGACGCAAAATCCTTTCGTTGTTGAATAACTCACTCATGAGATTATTAGAGAAATATTTAATTTAGTTGTTCCTCTAGTGATAATCCTATTTTTTAATTTGACTTTACGATTATTTTTTCTTCGCCTATGGTCCCATTGTGCATTAACAGGCTGGTGCAATTTTTTCGAGCGACAGCGCTAATCTTTTTTTGTATCAATCTCTTTTTTTGTTACGAATATCAGATAAAGCCCACATGCGGACGAGTATGCAGGGACATAACAGTGCTGCAACACCGTGTCATACTACCCTGAATTCTTCATTCTGCGGTCAACAGTACCACGAACAACATACGCAAGATACGTTTCTGAAATTTAAGGTCCAGTTGCGGCGTCAAGTATCAACGGCGCAGAATGTACATCGTGAGCGCGAAGGAAATTGGAGCACGCTACGGCTTGCAAGATCACCTCTGTCACTCAATGTACGCTCAACTTGCAAATTTTACCTTGCACATCGTTTCTTCCTCACTTTGTCGCGAGATTACATTGCTTTTGCACAGACTCCACGCGTGTTAGCCTCACATGTAAACCTCGGATATAGATAAATCATGATTTCACAGATCTGCGTTGTGTCAGATTTATGCTTCGGATATCCACGGAGCGAAATAAATTACAGAGCTTAGAGACGAAGATGGTGTTTTCCTGCTTTCCTATCATTCTTTGCTCATTTTATAACGACTTGATTATTCAATCGTTAGGAAATCATTGAGTTGCCTTACTCGGCCGTCAGTTTTGATCGATCCAACGCTAGACTTTATATCGGGTCCGTCAAAAAGTTCGGTTCGATTTTCCGACCATCTTCTACAACAAATGCCGTCAGAATATTGGCGAAGGATTATGAACGCGACTTACGAGGCGATTTCCCAGAGCTTAACGCATAATTCGTCGCCACTGAACGCATCGAACGCAATTACCTTTAAATCCAATTCGAATCGAATTCGACTGAGAAATCGAATCGTCCAGTATTTTACGTCAGCTATTTTTTTCCCCTCTCTTTCGAGCAGCCTTATAAAAATATAATCCCGTATAAGAAACATAACAAACAAACAATTTCTCAATCAACTTCCTTGAACTTTTGCAGAGGGCTGCACGCGTGCTTTAGCAGGTCAATACGACGGCTCTGTGAAGGCAAGGACCTTGGCAGCCCTCCCGAAGCCCCGGCCATAAGACCGACCTGATCCTGGTCCCGTGCGGGTTCGGGGAGGCGTGATGCCTCACGTGGACGTCTCTTCGAAACTCGAGACCCTGCGCGACGTCGAGCACCAGCGGTGTAGAACGCGCCAGACACGCCCAGGCTAAACTGGAACACGCGCTGGCGTAACTTTTGACCTCGGCGCAGCCACGCAGACACGGAAAGTCGTACAGTGTCCTCTCCAACTGGCTGACCACCTGCTCGGCGACCTCTCGGGAACCGGTCTGGCCGCCGGAAGTAGCCAGTTGCCGTTTTATGCATTCTTCGAGCTCCGGCGCGACCTCCGCCGTCGCGGTCTGCACGCTGCTTGCCGCTGCACCGGCGGCACCGTTCAAGATCTTCAAGGCCTCCAGGCGCCTCGACGTCTGCACCATGCCGGCCAAACGCCACGAAAGCTGCGGACGAGACAGAGGAAACGGTGAGCGATGATGTAATGTTCTTCAATTCCGTTAAGATGCATGCATGTCATTAAAATAGGTGCGCCGTAAATTGCGCGCGACTGCCATTCGCCCGCGCTGCATTTTGCTCCTTTTTCTTTTTTTTTCGTCCACTTCCCCGCGTTTGGCGGGCTTGAGGATAGCTCGGGATGAACACGGGAATGAAACGGCGGCAAAAGGAGTCGGGCTAGGCACGTTTCGCGTGCGGCACGGTGTGATTATCGCGAGCGGACGTTAGGCTGAGATTAGAGTGGAGCGCGTTTTAGAACGCGTTCGCTGATTCACGATTGACGTCGACACATGATTTATGTGCCCCATGTCCGGATCGCATCGCTACAATCAGTTGCACGAGTGGTTTCTTTTCGCGCTGGGGTTTTACGATGTCTCGAGGCACATTAGACTGATAGAATCGAACGCGATAAGTATCGCTTCACGTACATTTGTGCATGCCATTAACAGCAGATTCCCCGAATATTTCACCGAGTGAATAATTTTTTTTTTTATTCGCTGACATAAACTTTCCCAGGAAGAAAGGGAAAGAGAGAGAATCGATAGCGCGCGCGCGCGCGCGCGCGATATGAGCTTAATATAAATATTGACACGATATATTTTATAATTAAAATATGACACTGTTGCAACTGGAAATTTTTGCTGCCGGGAGCGCGCCTCTCCGCCTCAATTTGTTAATATTTCTTTGCACTACGATAGAAACGATAATCACACCGGTCGGCGTGTTTTGCAGAACTTCAATTACGGCGGTAATTCTCGTTGATACCGACGGGAGAATTATATACCATCGCATCGCAAAATGCGCGCAGAAGCTCCTGACGTATTACGTGCAAAATGTGAGACGCAAAGATATCTATAATCGAATCGGCTAATCATAACCGAGTATAATAGAGCGTGGGGATACATCGCGGGATGTGTTCCAACCGCCGCTGTCCTTATTATGCGGGATATGTCGATCGCAATCTTCGCGAGAGATCGAGGACGGGGCATTTGAGTTGTGAGGACGCCTGTCTGCTTTAATTAGAAGCGCGCCAGCGCGGTTTTTCTACTTGTTCCGGTTAGCGCGTAATTACCACGGAATTCCGCGGGATTCCGCGCATTGCGAAAGAATCCTCTTCTCTCACCGACTCATAATGCCAATTTACGAGCATTGTGGTGAATTATTACGGCTCTCGTACCATCGCGACTCATCCTGATACACGACTAACTGTTTCATCGATACCGTTACAGGTGCAAAGGTTCACATTTGCCGTGTAACATCGTTGCCGTATTGTACGTTTCACGTGTGTATTTTTCACACTTCCATCACAACAATCGGATGTCCCGCGTAATGAATCGAGGAGCAAACCAAACTTACCGAGTGCAATGTGTTGTTGAAAATGCGACACTGTATAATTTTGAATTTATCAGTTTCCCGCGCGCTGAAGAAATCGATGTTACATCGTTTTTATTTTCTACTTTTAAGTCGTATTTGCGGGAAACTCGAGATTTTAGAAAATCGAAGTGAGCTATTAACCGGGACTAGATATTAATAGCCTTAAAGATGACAACAATTTTCGGCTCCCGAAGCCGTTTAAGCCGATGCTAATCAATCTATAGACAGGTCCATGATAAGTTGGCTTATCAGTATCAAGAATGTCGAAAGTTACGAAACTGCTGGCACACGCAACACGTTCGATCGCGAGATTGAGTTAGAACTTGAAGTTAGACTCGCGTTCTCTGCGTGACTGCCGGTTCAGTAGCGTGGGCTGTAGCTCACATCGCGTCGAGTATCAAATTGAGTCATAATCAACCGTTAATGCCATTATTTACGTATGTGGCGACGCGAAAAATTATCCGCGTTGCCGATGAGGAAACAATCGTCATTGTATCCCCGAGTTTTCTCTCGTATCTGCACAGCCGAGAGGAGCGACGGCATTTCTGGGGCAGAGAGTATAAGAACAAGCGTGGGCTTATAAGAAAGAGCAAAAAAAGAAGAAGCGCCCCCGTTGCAATATCTATTTTATCGCGCACTCCCTGCGTATTCGCGTGTGAAAGCCGTGTTCTCGCTGTGCAACGTATTAGTCGTGGGACGATGGGCCGTCGTTATGTGCGCCGCACTCGATTGCTCGCAATTGGATCAAATTCTGCAGAGAAAGTAAAATTCAGCGATAAGAACGAGCGTAGAATTCTGACGATCTCGGTCGTCATAAAACTCGGTTATCTTTCGCGGAATTCTATTTAATTACGACCGGGAAAGACTGCGTCCTTCGTACTCGACTGCGCATTCATCTCATTGCTAATTTGCGACGTTTATTATAAGAACCACTTACATCAATCGGAGGACTGGCCTTTATAAGAATGCATTGATTAGTCTTGACAAAAATTTACTTAGAATTAATTTTCTTTCGAAAGTTGAAAGTTAGGTTTCCGAAAGGACTTTCTTATTTTTCAAGCCGCAGTACCAATTATTAATTTATCTTTTTACGGTCTTTTCATGGATTTTTTTAAATATTCATTGGTTCAGTCTAATTAGATGAAACAATCCACGTAAAGTAAACATATGTATAATAGATTCCCTTTGCAAGACGCGGATCGGCAAAATAAATCGCCGTCTGTGGAACCGGTTCTTGTGAATTATTCCTCGCAATTCAACTGCTATCAGTCCTTTATAAATATTCACAAAGTGATGACTGAACATTAAGATTAGATTGCAAGGAGATATTACACCACAGTACATGGAATTATTAGCACATTGCGTCGACAGGCATTTATCAGCTGGTGCGTTTTATTTATATGCGAGTGTATTCCAAGTGAAACGATAGGGGAGTTCCCTCGAAAAATAAGACAAATATCGGCGCGAGTGGAAACCAAAAACAGAGAGAAATGGTTAAGAAATGCCGCCACGTCATGTTTATTTGATCACCCACCGACAAACAGCAACGACTGGGTAGAGAATTAGAGATCTCGTTTGCATTATCTAGGAAAGCGCTCGCCTTTCGCGTTTTCTTTGACCGAGTGGCGGCACTCTCCGGCGCTCTCCCCGAAGAGTGTTTTACGCAGATTTCGGGCCTTTAGAGTATCGATCAGCCGCGGGCAATATTTCATTTCGGTAGCTTTATGCTTCGCCCGCTTTATGCGTCTTGACGATATTCGCATGCGAGATATCCGCGTATGCACATAGAGCGATTTCTATTTTTGCCGTAGGCCAAAACACAAATCGCATTGTCGATCGCGATCTGTCGTACACATCCGCGGTGGAATTAACTGTCTCGGCTATACTTCAAAGTCGCAAGCACTGACGCGCTCGAAAATCGCAAATATGTCGGAGCCGTATAACTTCGTTGAATGCTAATTTCGGCGTCGTCGTCGAGATGTCACGGAGCATACATCGGGTCCTACGAGCGAGCTCGCCTCTCTCGGAAAAGATATTTCGCGAATTGTCTAGCCGGGTTATCGACCAAATGACAGCGGCTCGTTCTACAAGGTGACATAAACACGCGCGCGAGAGAAGTACCGAAGAGGAATAGCCGTGCGTGTGTGCGCGCGCGCGTGTGTTGCTTTCTTCGTGGATATTTATTTTAGTTCATCGATTTCCCAGATATCCGTGTGAAAGGCACCTGTATGTATCCATATATATGCAAAGTACCTAATAGCCTCAGGCTGACGGACTAACGTCTCTCTGCCACTTGCCGAGTATACTCTCTATCGCAAAAGTGCCCCCCGATCCACCTGCCGTACCAACGAACCATCCCTTCGCTCTTTTCCCCTCTCTCGGCTTTGACGTTAATGGTCCATCGATCGAGCGGGAGACAGGTGCGTGGTGGTAGTAAAAATAATCTTACAGCATACTTATATAGTACACATCGTCGTTGCTACTCGAAATTCATGGTTAACTCTCGCATATAAAAAAAGTTTTCTCTATCTCTCCTCTCTCTCCCTTCCCCCTTTCTCTCCCTCCCCCCCCCTCTCTCTCTCTCTCTCTCTCTCTCTCTCTCTCTCTGTTTAGTGCCTTTCCTCTTCCTCTGCTTTTACACTATCTTTCTCTCTTGTTTGACGCATATTTCTGCTTAAAAATTAAAACGAGCATCAAGAGCGAGCGTTCTCTAGATAAATTTTCAATTAAATTCTCTGTCTCGCGAGACGCACGTTTTAGTTGGAGTAACGCAATTTCGTTGGCAGTAAATGTAATTTCGAAGCGCTCTTTATCGCACGCGCTTCGCACTTGTTTTTAACAAAGAGGTCGTCCTTCTCTCTTAAAGGACTGACATTCCGAAAATGAGTTTTCTCTTTTACATTAATATCCTGCGCGCGTATTTATTAAATGCAATTATACAGCGAAAGCGATACGCGCAAAATGTGCTTTCCATTGCGAGAAATGATCGTTTCGTTAAAAAAATGTCAATAGCGTTATCGGCGCCGCTGTGTTAGCCGATAATTGTTTAAAATAATATATTCGCGAGTCGAAAGTTGCTTTCGGAATTTTAAAAGATATTTCGCGCGAGCTTTGCAAGTTTGTGTCAACTGAAAGACTCGGCTGGTTGTAAAATCGAGTTTTCCGCTGTAATGAAATTATTTGGATCAACGGGACGACGCGAAATGGGGTCGTTTTACGCTTCACCTTCAATGAAGTAGTTTACTTTGTGAATAGCAGCTTAAACTAGCAGTAAAAGATATTTACTGCTTGCCTGCACAGTATCGAATCCGAAGATTCATAGATTTATGGATTTGATGAACATATATCTGTCGACTTAGAGTACACATTATAGACTTTCATCTTTTTTAAGTGACACCCGTTGAATAATATGAAGCGAGCCTTTCATTCTCGTTTTCTATTGCGTGTGTGTCCGACGTTTTATGCACATTTATTTTAATTAATTCGACAACGAAGATCCTTTTTATCGGGAAAATTGAAGCGTCAACAGCCAACGAGTTACAAGCTAATGCAAATGAAGGGCTTTTCGTGAATTAAGCTTCAAAGATCGACAGATAACGGCGTCTTATTGTCGGCTCGATTTCACGCGGGGGCTTTAACGAAAGTTTAATTACAAGCTCAGCTGTCGCAATTAATATTGACGGAAAAGCCGTGAAGGAGGGGCGATGTTAAATTCGCTAATATCGCGCTCATTTATTCATTCGAGTTCAAGTCAAAGAGATTTCACGGTCTTCTTCCCGACCGAAGAGAGGTCGGTGTCGAGCCACTTAGTTGAAGAACACACGACGGGCTAGGAATACGTGTGCGCGGCTGGGGGGGTACATTCGCATGTTCGTAGCGCGAGCTTTAAAGCGTGATTATGACACGTGTAAACCACTCCGGCGAACGCGAAGTGCACGCTTCGCGGCTGGGATCGCGTCCTCGTTGTTGGCAGCTTTCATGTTAGCTAACGCGAGAGCGCAAGTGGAGAACAAGTGTTTATCGACACACCGCACTCTCCGGCCGAATGTGTGCGTTAGTTCTCCCTGTCCGTTAGTTTTCGCCGACTCTCTCCTGCGCGCTCGCGACGAGCACACAACTGCGACTTTTTTCGGCGCTCATAGACGCGTTCGTGAGATTGACGATGCGAGCGCAAGTATATTCGCTTTGTCGCGCGCTCGAGGAAAAGAGAGAGAGAGAGAGAGAGAGAGAGAGAGAGAGGGAGGGAGAAAGAGAGAAAATAGAGAGAGCAAGTCTCACGATATGTCGGAGAATCAAGCTCTCCTCTCCTACGTATGTGCGCACGGAGAATTCCGCGAGAAGTCAGAATGCTTCTTTATTAATTTATTCTCCTCTCGGAGTCTTAGGTTGTCTCGCGACAACGGCGATGCGGTTGTTTCCAATGTTCCACGATGGCACGACATTCAGTTTCCATAGCGATCAGCACGCTAACATTCAGCGTCATGCGAAAATAACGTCATGTAAAAAGGTAAAACTTACCTCGCGAAAACGAGCCTCGCGCGCGCTGGTCGTGTTGGCGCGCGTACACGCGGAACTAATGTGATTTTATTTTTAGAAACACGTTAGTACGTTCGGCCGGTGGATGAAACTCGAAATAAAATAACGCACTTGCGCCCGGCGTGCTTGGAAAAGCGTTATTTCGACGCGGTAATTCCTGATATTTGCATTCGAACACAAATATTTATGTTGGCTTTGTTACATATCTCACGCGCGCGTACATGTGTATGTGTATGTATGTGCGTCAGATAACTGTTCGCAAATATCAGATGCGATGATAACCAGAGATAGATATGTAAAGAGAGAGAGGGAGAGAGAGAGAGAGAGAGAGAGAGAGAGAGAGAGAGAGAGAAAGAAAGCGGGGAATTAAAAATTACTTTCGGGGAAACATCATACATGCGCGCGACATTCAGCGAGATTTTCAGCGAATACATCGGACGGTTTAAGCCTCCGCGATGTAATTACGGAGTCGTGGATTTTACCGGGAGGTTACGGTCATACGGGGTGTAACCCAATATTCCTCTTGCATGTCCCCAACACCTTTGACACGACCTGCGTTTGCTCCTGATGACACCCATCCGTACGCAACTCCTGTGAGGCGTATATTAGCCGTGTAGACTCTTGTATACATGTACATTGGTTAATTGCGTATGTATCAGGCTGATCCGTGTATTCCGATCCGATCCTTGCGGACTCTTTTCTGTCAGTCTGAGGTCTGTTGCTTCTCGAACGGTATTCGTCGGAAACTTCATTTCAGTCCGAAGCTGAGCGATAAAATGAATTTATCGTCTGACAATAATCGGGCGTTCATCGCGCGCGACGCGCATTGAACGAGCGATTACGCGTGCTTTGTTTGGCTGGTGGCGGAAAATCGGCGAGTGTTTGTGTCGCGTTAGAAATTGGATTATGTCGGCGAGTCGGGGTCGGGGGTCGGGGGAACTTGTAGGGTGATCGCGAAGTGCGTAATCGAAATTTGCACGCGTGTCCGCGCTGTTTAATGTACGCGCGAGACGACACGACGCGGAGAAGCGGCGTTTTAATTGCGTGTCTATGCGAGAAAGGAATCGCTATTGGGACGGCTGCCAATAATATCGTTTGCTCGTAACGATCGAGATAAACAACGGGAATTTACACGACGAAAAACCGCTCGTTATACGCGATTGTCTCGTGCATTAACGCGCAATGGCGGCAGCCTCGTTTCAATCGACAAGCGGTATCCCCGTTAAAACCGACGTAACAAAATACACGCGCTAACGAAGAGCTCAATCCGCCGGCGGATTATTTGCGGATTATTTGTGGATTATTTTCCTCTGTTTTTTCTCCTCACGAACAACAACCAGAGCATCCTGCTTTATGAATAATAATTAACGCGTCGATCAATTGTGTCCTCGTTGATTTGCGGAACGGTACAAATGCAGCCAATTCGAAGAGATAAATCTCTCTATTGTGTCAACGCGGGCAGCGTGACGGCGGATATGTTAAGCGCACACCGTGTGTTAAAATATTATGCGTCGCGATCAAAATAAGCGGCTAGCTTATCACTTATATAGTGTGCTATTCATATAGGATTAACTGATCGATTAACTACCCGCGCGACCGTGCATTAACAAGATCCCAGACTGGCATCAGACCAGGTGGCTAACGAAACACGCCGTAAACGGTCAAGATATTCTCGTTGCAATTATAGAGAGATAGAGATGAGAGAAAGAAAGAGAGAGAGAGAGAGAGAGAGAGAGAGAGAGAGAGAGAGAGAGAGCCGTTTATCCAGATTCTAGTAAATAATTCACCGTCCCGACGAAGCCCGCAACGTATTGTATTGTATTGTGCGAAAGCGGGAAATTCACGTGTCAATTTCGCGCTCGCACGTGACTAATTCCTCGCGGATGATCGAGTGCTATTCGTACACAATGATCCGCGACTGCTTCGTTGCGCCTTTTGTCGTGGCTGTTCTCATCCGGCAAAAATCGCGCGCTGTTCGTTGCGCGAAATTGACCGTCGAGATGGAAAAAAGGTGAAAAAAGAAGGAGAAGAGAAGAAGAAAACAGTAGGAATTCCGACGCGTGCGGTCCGCTTATTTCGCGATTTATCGACTGTCATTGACTAATTTCGAATTTATTGGCTAATTCAGGTCTGTTTGGAAATTCAATTTCGCAATTTATCGCACGACTATCTCATTGAGCTCCGTCGCGTATTCCACTCTTACCGACACGATTGGAGGATGACTTTGTCTCTGGCATTCGTCGCGGTTCAGGAAACGCGGAGGATCAATCAGTCATTGCGAGTGTTTGCGATTGCGCTAAAGTAGCCGCCTCAAAGCGACACTCACCACTACTACCGAGTAGAGGATCTTCGCTTTCAAGTCGGGCGCGTCCTTGAGCGACTCCAGAGCGTCCAGGGCATCCAGGGTGTGCAGGTTAGCCTGGGCGTAAAGAGCGCTGTACCTCTCGGCGAGTCGCTCCACCGTTATGTCCGGCGCGGTTAGGTCCGAGCAACTCTCCTCCACGCTGAGCACTTCGCAGTTCGTAACCACCACCGGCTCCGGGGTCGGGCTGCAGCTCTCGTCCGTGTGATAGCCGGCGCTGCTGGATTCCTCCTCGTAATCGTCCGCCAGATTCTCGTCCAGCTGAAATACCTGCGGGCGAGACAGCTCGCGATGTGTTACATCGGGGTTGTTTCGGGCGACCTCCCGAGATCACCGTAAAACTCAAGTTCGCGTTTTTTTTGTTCGAGTAACTATACTTAGTTCTCTCTAGTTCTATCCTCGCCGATGGGACGATGAGACGTCTTCATTTTCGCGGTGAACATGTTCTCTCATTTAATGTACTGCCCATTTAATGTACACACTCGCATTAATTTCCTCTTTATTCCTCACGAGATTAAAAATCGAGGTGCGTTTCTTAATAAACTGGATGTTTTATACATTAATGAGTTCGGGTCCACGGATGGGGGGACGATGAAAGTTTGAAGAACGTGAGAGAAATATGGGGAATGTGCTGGGGAGTAAATATCTCCGCTTGGAAATGAGATGAAAATTATTTAAGCGGCAACATTAATCACAACAACTTCATGCGTCATGTATTTTTCGTGAAATTTGCAGAGAAGATATATATATATATACCGAGGAAATAATGTTGTTCATTAACTCGCGCATGAGAAACCAAAGTATTTTCATCGCGACGCATTAGTAAGTGGGAGGAGTATCGCGCGCTGTGGAGAAACTATCGAACAATCGCAGTGCCCACACTCCTCGATCCATTTGTTCCATTTCCGATTGGGATTTTCAGTCGATTCTGTGCTTTCAATTAAAACGCATTCAGTGGAGAGCAATTAACGCGTTCCGGCATACCGAAGCGGGTTTTCCAATTTGATTTTGTTATATATAACAATTTAGATGGCACTTTTCGCTCTTTTCGCAGCCCGCGCAACGTGCCGTTATTTTCGCGTCGTTTGGAATTCAGGATTGTCATAAGCGAGAGCAGTGATTTATTCCTTCAATTAGGCGACGGTAGTGCGCGGTTTCTAAAAATTCGTTGCCGCGGTATGTTCATTCATTATCGAGAAACTGTTTAAACGATAACGGGATTCGCCCGTGTGCCCAAGTGAATTTTGACGAAATTTCGCGAGACAGCGAACGGTGGTGCATTTGATTAAAACGTGTTTAACGCAAAACATTTCGAACGCTTGACATGGCTTTCTCTCTCTCTCTCTCTCTCTCTCCTGTTCTCTATCATGCCGAATTTCGTCCGCCAAGCCGGATGCAATTATTTTCGCGATCAAAGGGAATGCGTCGTGCGTGCGTTCCGTTTGGCAAAAAAAGCAACACACAAACTAATCTCGCTGTTCATAACGTCGGACGTAGAATCGATTATTGCCCTTGTAGGAGAGGCGCGTCATGTCGTGATATTCTCGCGTTCTCGCATGTTTCGCGAGTTGCGCGTATTTTGTGCGCTCGCAATCGGCTGTTGCGTTCTTCTGCGTCGTGATCGGTCGTGTTTCCTCGAAACTTTATGAAACTCCACGAAAATGGAGCGTGTACCCGGCGGGTATTGCGCCGGCGCTCGGATTCAATTTTGCGATTTTTCTGACACATCGGAAAAAGCGCGACGGCAACGGCGGCGGCAGTTGAACGCGCGAAATTATTTATCACTCATGCGTCATCGCTTCCAACGGCGATAATTTCGGCGACTCGACATTAATATTTGTCGTATTAATTACATACCGCGCGCATTAATGCATTTTACGCATTAATACTTCACGCGAACGTTTCTCGTGTATATTGTAGCACAATATATATATATATATATATACTATATATATATATATATATATATATGATACAGGCTCCGTATATGTCGGCTCTACAATAAATTCGGCAGTCGAATATTTCTCGTGTTACGCGCCATCAGCACGTTCTCGTCAATTATAAAGAATGACGCGGCGAATCACGCAAGGAATTCACGTAACTAGGCATACGCGTCGCACGAACGCGCTTATTTCCATTTATCGCGCTCGATCACGATCTCTCGCTTTCGCCTCTCGTCTCTCCCGTACGTCTATGTTATCTGGTGTGTATCTCGTTTCATTAGCGCGCGCATTCTCACTCGCTATTTCGACCCACCGTTGTTTCGACGTCCGTTAATAGCGCGCTAGCCTATCACGCGCGATAATGCATTACGAACCGCTCGATGAACTGTATAATAAACATTTTATTCCGATGAAAATTTCAACGCAGTAGATATTGCAATGCTATAATAACCAAATCGCGCGCGAGTATCAGCCGCGTGTCATCAGTGGTAACGAATTGACGACGCGCGTTCCATTATACACGCGTGCGTGTGTCTGCTCGCGCGTTTTAATCCACTCTTTGCGAGAAGAAGAGTTACGGATGTGATGACACCGTAGATTTATATACTAAGCGAAATTTGAGGACGAGATATATTTTTTTTTATTTTTGGACATTTCCCCGTCGATTTCCTGTGGATTTCTGTAAATTTTTTTTCTTCCCTGCGATCGCTTGCTCTTATTTTCCATATTGTCGTTTGTGTTTACTTAAGTAGTCAGTCACGAAGATTTTCGTCCACTAATGTCAGCTAAAAGCTGGTTTAGCTTCCCGTTGCATGTAAATTCTAAGCGTCAGACGTATCTAGCGTCCAATAAAATATAAATATTATTATTAATAATAAGGGGACAGTTATATTTCCTCCAACTGCCCATAGGCATGCTACTTCATTTATCTTTTCCAGCAGGAATGAAGCTAAACAAAGATCGAATGTACTCATGACGCGCGTCATTATTCTTTTCATATATTATCAATATTTAAATCTGCATACACACACACACACACACACATGTGACCAATATGAACCTGGCAAGCAACTTGATAAAAAAAAAATTCTTAATACGATTCGATTGTACTTCGTTTGTACCTGTTTGTACCACTTTTTGTTTCGTTTGTACCTCAAAGAATAAAAAGATAGGGGGAGGGGGAAAAATAGCCAGCAAACAAGTGTAAGATATCCGAAAACGCCATTCGAAAGAGAATCGTTTGTACTTGTTTGTACCTCTTTTCGGCGTTGGCCGTTTCTTTTTATTCTTTGAGGTACAAACGAAACAGAAAGTGGTAGAAACGGGTACAAACGAAGTACAATCGAATCGTATTGAGAATTTCTTTTTTTTTTATTAAGTTGTTTGTCAGGTTCACATCGGTACATATTTGTGTGTGTAAATTTATGTCCATGGTATGATACGCACTCACCGTTCGGTGAATCACGCGCTTCCGTTCATTAGCGACTTGTTTGCGGCGTATCGACATCGAAAGTAACGAGATTTCGATCTGCGGTTTTCGCCTGATGGCCGGGCTTTAGCCGGGAGCAACGGTGCGCAGTAAATTCACGTAATTTAGGGTAATCGCTGTAGAGCCCTTCTGGGATTCCGCGAGGTTACACGCGGCGAAGGCGGCGTCTTTGACGTCCTCCGCGGATCGTCTTGAGCGCATCAGCTGCCGAGTCGGCCGCAATGTCCCGCGGGAATGCTAGCGGTTGCACGACGTAGACGTCGCGCATGTGTATGTTCACAGCCGTTCTGTCACGGCACGGTGCAGGTCCTTCACCTTTCTTCTTATTGTCAGCGGCCGACCGTACGAGTCTCTCACGCAGCACGCGGGGGTCGCGTAAAAATAAATTGCGATCGCGCACGAACGACGCGCTCATTGTTCCAGCAGGCCGTCGTTTTCTATGTCAAACCTCCTCTTCCTCCCGCTTCCTTCTTTCGCGTTTCTCGAGACGGTCGCGCGGAGCGCAAATTGCTTCGTGGCTAGACGATATTAGTAACGAATCTCCCTCTCCCTCGTACTTTTTGTCTCTCGTTTACACGGTTATCGTTAGGTGTAGCGCACGGCCGTTGTTGGCGCGTATAGTCGCGAGCGCATTCCTCGACTACCTTGCAAGTGGAGGCCTTTTTTTTAAGCGCATTACTCCGCACGAGCTGCTCCGTACGAAAGCACGAGATCGCGCTCCGTTGCTCGAGATCAAGCATATCCTAATTGCGTTCTCTCTTTGCGGGGCGACCCATCGTTTCCCTGCCCCGCAGAGAGAAAAGCAGGGAAAAAGAAGCAATGACGAACGGGGGAGGGAAAGGAAGAAAAACGTGCTTGCCTCCGCGCGGCTTTCCCGAGCAGCGAATTTTTCGGTGCTGAGTTTCGAGCGGGGAACGCTTTTCCGCTTTGCGTTCAGATCATACCTGCGGGTTATCCTCGCTCATGAACTGCAGCGCGAGCGCGCAGCCTCGTGAGAACTGCAGTAACCGAGCGGCGAGGGCCGGATTCTTCGTGTTCGCCCCGGAGGTCGATTTTCTCAAGGCCGTCCATTGTCGAAGTGCCTCCTTGTCCTGCTCGACCCGACGCTTCAACTCCGCCAGCAGATTCTCCAAGGTGCACGGGCCGCCCGCTTTCTCCAGGGTGTTCAGCAGACTCTGGTTATCGATCAGCCGCTGCTGGATCTCGCTGTACTTGAGGGAAAGCTGCCGCTGATGGGAGGCCGCCTGCACGCCTTGGTCTGCTGCAGCAAAAGCATAAGAAAAGATCGGGTGCTCTTCCTCCTCCTTCTCCCCCTGCCCTTCCCCCTCTTCGTCTTTGTCTTCGACTTCTCTCGGGCGTGGGTTATTATTACTTTTTTATTATTAGAGCGGAACCGATGGGGCGCGAGGTGATTATTATTATAACTGAATCCGCTGCCCTCGCCACGTCGCCTCGGGCCCCCGCACGGCAGATAGCCTCCTCGATATCCGGCACGGACGGCGAAATCGCAGTGCTGACATCACAACGGACTTCTTCACGTTGCACTTTCCTTTACACGTATAATGAGGCGGTATTAAATTATGTGGCATATCCTCGCCACGCGCCAAGCGTAAATCACCGCAGATTCATGCTCCAATAAGTTACAATTCGGCGAGGGGGGAACGAGGCGGCGCGACGATGATCTATTTCCATTATATCATAAAGTGTGTGTGTGTGTGTGTGTGTGTGTGTGTGTGTGTGTGTGTGTGTGTGTGTGTGGTATCGACTGCAGTGCACCTTTCTTCGCCCAATGAGCAGAGCCGCAAGGAACAATCTCTGCTCCATACCGGCGGATATTAATTTCAGCTGTGACACAATAACGACCGGTCGTCGCGGGTGTGATGGCCAAGACAGATGCGTGTATCGGCATTGCCGACGTCGGGTTTTATTAAGGAACTTGATTAATGAAATCTCGCGCCGATTGGATTTTGATAGTCGCGATGTACCGCTGTGTCCCGATTGATTTCGGGACACAGACACTTTTTAACTGGATATTCTTATTATTTTTTGGTCTTTGAACACGAATATTTAAACTTTCAACATATAGAATGTACGTATGTATATTCAGTATGTATATATATATATATTTTTTTTTTATTGAAAGTTTAACCATTCGTATTTTAAGGTCGAAACAATAAGAATGCCCAGAGTTGGATACACTTCGTGGCATTGCTACTTTCTCTTACTTCGTCGAGAGGAATAGTCAACTTGCTCCTTGCGAAAAAGGAATTACGGATTAACAGTGTTAACTGTTAATACAAGACGAGGAATCCGCTGACATTCAGAGATTTGTTTACCACAGAACGGCGCGTACGTGAAAGTAATGACAAGTCTCTCTCTCTCTCTCTCTCTCTCTTTCTCCGTACATTTATCACTATTCGCTCGACGTGGCGACGCTTATCGTCCGACCGTGTATGCACTGTTCTCCTTTCATTTTTCGCGCCTTTCTCTCTTCGGAAATGCATCAACGCCGCGGATAGCGCGTCGCGGCAAATATCCGCGTAGCAGGAGTGTGCGTTCTCCTATGCAAATGGCTTAGCGCACACCCTGGCATTACTCCATTTGCATTTGTAAACGTAACAGGGCGCCCGCGGCTCCGTTAAAATCCGATGCTTCACGGTTTCGCGGAGCTCCAGATGTACACGGGGTGTGACGGATCGGACGGCGAGCCAACTTCGTTCCGATAAAGTTAGCGGCGCGTGTGCTAATCTCATCGCATAGTCGATGATAATTGCACGCTCGGCTGTGTATCGCGGTTGCACGAACGAACCGAACAACGAACGCGCGTTTTGTGCCAAGCCTCGAATAATCCGCTTTCCCGCGGATTTCCCCGAAGCTGAATATTTCGGTGGTGTGTGCTCGCGGACGGTCGCGTTCTCGCGATAATCGCGGAATCGCGGGATGAAAATCCGCGCGCTACAGCATGTAATTGCGAAATATCGTTTCGCCGGATACGCTGGCTTACGGTTGCGCGTTTTACGCTCGCCACTCGGCGTTTAACGCGTGTCTGCTGGATAATGAAGCGCGTAATCGAGGGAGTCGCGCAGGCGATCTCTGTCTTTATCGTGTCACTGCCCCGAATTAACGCGCTGCGCGCCCCTTCATCCCCCCCCCCCCGTTCGCTCCGATCCGACCGAGTTCTCAAAGTCCCTTCGAACATTCGCCAGCCTGAAGAGACTGCTCGCGTTAACATCGCAAGCGTCACTCGGTTAATTGTCACCGATAGGTGCCGGGTTTTCGTGGATAACAACGCGAGAATCAGCAGGGCGAGTACCTTTGTGGGTGCCGGCGTGCTTGCCGAAGTTCTCGATCTTGTGCAGCGCCAGCTTGTAAGCCTCCGTTCGCGTCTCCAGCTCCTCCTTCAGCGCGACCGGCAGCGGCACCAGGTTCGGCGTGACGGAATTCTCGGAGCTGCTCGTCAAGGTGGAAGACACCAGTCCGTGCTTGCCGAGACCTTCGACGGCCCTCTCGAGGGCGCGCCTCCGCGATATCAGCGCGTTCTTCGTGCCGGGCGATAATCTGCCCAACGAGACGAGGAGCTTGCACCAGATGCGCAGTCGACAATGGTCCTGGCTGGTGGATATCAGGTGTACTATCCTCCAGAGGACCTGCTCGACTCGCAGGATCTTCGTGTCGTTGACGTTGAGCTCGATCAACCGGGAGTAGAGCGCCTCGAGCAGAGCGAGGCTGTGCGGCAGCGTCTCGATCAACAGGTCTACCGGGATATCCGGCAGGGCGGCTTTCAGGGTGTAGTGCGGCAGCTTCATCAGGAAGCCGGCCGCCTCCCTGTATTGTCTGCCTTCGTACAACCTTAATAATCTGAAAGAAGAAAGGGATGTTTCTGTGGGTGGCGGTGGCGTGTAGTCGTCGTACGAGGGAGAGAACAGGGTCAGGGGAGTGGAGCGAGTCGAGTGCTGATTACACGGAGGAAAAGGTTCGGTTGGATCAACGTGACTATGAGCGAATCGAACGCGTTTCGCTCGGAGGGAATAAAAGTGGCGTTTCGCGGAACCGAATTTCGCCCGTGTGAACCAGGAATTTGGTTCCTTTTGACAAAACGCGTCTGACTCGTTTATTGTCGTGTGAATTCAAGCGATTTTTTTCTCCATGCGGGATTACACCGAGCCCGAAACGAAAATGATCAACAGCCAGTTAAATTAAAACAATCGATCAAAAAATTGATTTAAAGTAATTAGTACACCAGGAAAAATGTATTGTTGCGTGAACCAAAATTTTGTTGTAACAACAAAATAATTTGGTTAAAATATGCCCGACAAAAGTGTTTAGTTCCTGTGAACAAATATCTTGTTTGATTACGGTTTGTTCATATAACGTAATACTTTTGTTATAGCAACCGAAGAGCTTTAACTATATGAATTTTGTTAAAAATACTATAATTTTTTCTTAATATATAAATCTAAATTTCAGCACAGAAAGACAAAATAGTATCCATTGGGCGTTATTTCAGTTTATGTAAAATAATATTTCGTTATTATGTAATCTTTATGAATAAAATAACTAAAATGCTTAATTTTTATATATGATGTCTAAGAACAGAATCATTTGGTCCAGAGAACAAAGCAAAAAGATATATTTCGTTGAGACAACTAAATATTTTGTTGTATAAAACAAGTTATTTGATTGCTATTAAAAAATGCCTCAACTAAACAGTTTTGTCAGAGATACTAAATATTTTTTTCTGGTATAGACGCGCGTCATAAAATATGTACAAATGAAGATCAAGCGATCTTTTCTCACCCATGTGGAATGATCTTCCTTTTGCATGATTATACCGGATTATACCGGAAGCGACGCGAAAGCGCTCGACGGTCGGTGCAATCAAATTAAAATAATCAGCAGAAGAATTTAATTAGCCGTGGCAAAATCAGCCGTGCTCGAAGTCGTTGAATCATCGCCCGCGCACGGTGTTTAATTTCACGCAAATGGCGCGATCAAACGTGATCTAGTGTTGTTATTCACCGTTACTTGGAAGCCGCGGTCGCGCGAGAGCGCGGCGCGTACGTTAATTTATGTCCTCTCGCAGACGAATTACGTGTACCCCGGCGATTTATCGTCGCCTGTGAGGATCACCGTTATTAGGAAAACGACGTTAAGCGGATTTACCCCCCGAGGCGGCGGTCCGTTCTCTCGCACTCTTATGCAATTGCATCTGCGTCGTCGCGCGGAAACCGTTCTCGAACAGTCGCTTTTCCCGCCGCTGTCTCCGTAGATTATTATTACGTTTCATCAATTCGCCGCTCCTCGTCCTCGTAATTTATAGCCGTGCGCTGCACGTCCTATTGACGCGCGACGCGCGAAGGGGGATTGAGCAAATCTATTATATACGTCGACCGTCGGGCTTACGATTAATTATCTCTGATTCTTGGCTCAGGATGAACAATGCGACTCGATAATGCGAGAGGCTGCTTATACGTTCGGTTCGTATAACGACCGAGAGCTGCGGGAAATATAAACTATATCAGCCTGTGAACCGCGGCAACCTTTGTTGGAATTTATCTCTTGATAAACACGGTGCGTAAAAACACTGTAGTGGTTTTGCGCACGTGTATTTGTGATAACAGCGCGGCCTGTAATTTATTCGTAATTACAGCACGTGCGTGGTGTGTTTATTACACAAGATGATATACGGCCGGAACGTAAGGACGATACCGGCAACGTAAACAAATATGCGCCGCGTAGGAGGGGGATGTAATAATAATTAAAATTGATCAAGAAGCGCGAGGAATATTCATTAAACTTCTTACGTTGCGCAGTAACTTTTTTTCTTTTCATCTTCTGTTTGTCAGAATAAATTCCTACAGAGTCTAGACGGCATTTGCATAGCGATCTCGCGCGCGTTATCCTTACCGATGCGCGTGCTGGACATCTTATTTACACAAAATTATGCATAAACGTAGGATAAACCGTCTGGTAGCCAGCAGCCTTTATGCTCACCGCCAGTTTTCGGCGCTCTTGACCAAATATTAAGATATATGGACACATTAAAAACAACTAAATGAATAATAAATAATAATTAGTGAATAATTAAGAAATCTCCATATACTTTAATATTTGATCAAACCCGCGCCGAAGAATGCCGAAAACCGGCGAAAACTGTCGGCTGCTCGTGCGCGCTTTCCTCTAATCATTCTATTTCGGTTAGGTGCGGTCTCTTTAACATGTGTTCGTGAAAGTCACCGAGTTCGAGGACTTAACGTCGCTCCGACGACGTTATCTCGATATCGCGTGACTTAATGACTTTCGCGAGACGCACGGCACGTACCTTCTCAACGCCATCCGCGGATTCGAGCCCTCATCCTCCAGCATGCCGATATGGCCGACCTGGAACTGCGAGCCGGGACCCCATACGAGTCTTTGGATCGGATTTCTGGGTCGTTCCGGCCTGATCCTCTCGCAGGAGTTGATGCCTGCGGTGGGTGGCACGGTCTGCCTGCTCATCTTCGTCCACTTGGCCGTCTTATTTTACTAACGTCTATTCCGCCGTGACGCACAAGCCGAGTCCGTATATATTTATTCCCCCTCTTCGGAGAGATCGAGTGGGTTCGACGCGAGGTGGTGAGAAACACCCGCTTGAGAATCACCTTTACGAGCCCCCGAGCCCGAGACGAGCCATAGCCCGAGCCGCCCACTATCCGCCGGGCCGGCTTTTCTTCGCCTCCACTTCGGGACTTTCACGATCCTTTCTCTCTGTCCTCGATGCGATCTTTGACCTGCAGCCACGCGCCTCCGCGAACCCTGCCACCTCTCGTGTTCTCTCGCAAATTGATACTTTTTTTACGGCATACTCGAGCGGGGGCGAACCCGCGCCGCGGCAATGGATCCCCCGTATACGCTGCTTTCGCCAATTTACGTGCTACTCAACTATATACGTCGACCCCTTGCCAGCTATCTCCCTCGGCAATCCGGTCCTCTTTATCAGCCGAATCGATTTCGAATGTCCCACTATCGATCTCACTTTGTCTACCGTCTGCGCGAGTACCTATTTTACGCAATCACGCGTGGCTCGATTAATTCGACACGACGCTTTCGGTGAAAGTACTAAACACGTGTTCGCGTCCGTTTACGATGGTTCTTCAGATCCCATCCCGCTGAGAGCGTCCGTGATTATTTGTTTCTTTCTCGCGAAGACAGGCTCCTCGATTGTACGTTGCCGATTTCTCTCGTACAAACAGTCGGTTATTCCTCTTGCAATAATCTTCTCGCTCGGATCAGTGTGTATCTTCTTACGTCAATTTACTCTCCTCGATTATTTGCCTCTTCTTGGTACATCCTGTACGTCGGAGCGAACTCGTTAGCTCGCTGCTTTCTCGTGCTTCCAAAGTGCGCGATCTTTAAGGCCGGTAGCGAATTTTCCGTCCATCCGTTACGTGGGAGGTGCTTTTGAAATTATAAATTACACGGAGACAATCTTCCACCTTTTTCCGTTTCGCGCGCGTCGTGACGGACGCGCTTTGTATTAGCTGAAAGTCCCTCTCTCGACAGTAGTAACGTTTAAAAATCGACTCCTTTTATAATCGCGTCCATTAGAGCGGCGCGTGCTGATTACTTTCGCTCGACCCTTCGTTTTTCTTCGCTTTGTCCTTGACGAGGTTACACCCTACCTTACTTTCTCTCTCCCTCTCCCTCGTGATTTTCCGCACGTCTGGTGCTCGGGAAACGTAAGCCGCCTCGGGGCAGCCGGAGCGCCGTCTAATTTTCTAACCGCTATTCTCTCCCACGTCGGGGGCTGCTCTTCACAATTCCCCGCTCAGGAGCAGCCGGCAGCAGCATTTCATTCTTGATTCGCGGGCGCTTTTGTACTCTCAGCCTCGTTTTTACACTTGTTGATAGCTTCGCTCGGCATCGACTCCGCCACCTAAGACAGCCTCATTATCGTCGTGCAATTATCTCGGCGCGTTTCAGCGCGCGCTGATCTATATTTTTAATGATTCCTTGATCCTCGTCCTTTTGACCGTGGGGTGTCCGGGGGGCCGGTTAACGATCTCGCGACTTTCTTTTCTTCCCTCTAGCAAAATTCGACTTCTCCGCTCGCTCGCTCGCTCGCTCGCACGCTCGTCGTCTCCGTACGTAGCACGTAGTTTTCCTTGCGCTCGGTCTCTCTTCGTGTACGAAACACGAACCGTGGTGGCCTACAGCCTCGGGGCTGACCGGCCCACTTCTGCGCGGGTCGGGCTGGACCTGCGAACGGAATATTTACGTGTGTGAACCGTGCTCTCTTCTCTTTCGATACGCACGCTCGTGCGAGACGTCCTTACGTATTTGCCGCGATGTGCAATACACGAGATCTGCATAAATTTCTCGCCCGATAGATCCGCGATTCTCTTTTGTGCGATAAATGTCGAAATTCGATTGCGGCACGAAGCGCGCGCACGCTTTCGCAAAGTGTACGAGTATCGCCTCGTATTGCCGACAAACATCTCGCGTATGCGCGCGTGAGCGCGAGTTCGAGCGAATTTCATCGCAAGTTGAAGAACGCAAGAGTCGCGAATGGAATTTTATTTATTTCTGTGCTTGTTGTAACATACACTTTTGCGATTAAACTCCTCGGAAAAGAGAGAGGGGAAAGAGTGAGTTTCCGCCGAAGGAAAATCGACATCGAGAGCACGATCCGTGGAGTTTGACATTAATGTTCCATGACGCGGGTTTTCGATCTTCCCGCGGGAAGTGCGAGCTACGTGCGCGCGCTAGCGGTAAAACGAGAAGGTGAAAACGATAAAAGTAGATCCAGGCGGGACTTATCAAAAATGGAGAGAGAATCCACTTTTCTTCTATGAAACGTCTTCTTGCGCGCTCTGCATACCCGCGTGCCCGCGTCCTGGTCGAATAAAATATTTTCGCCTGTAGCGATGGGACATCCGATAGCATCCGAAATGGAAGGTGCCATGCATGATGCATCGGATGCCGGAATCGCGGTGTATAATCTCGCTCGCGCATCAGACGTGAATGGCTGGCAAATTTCAGTTTATTTTTGCCGGCGATATATACCTTTTACGGCGCGATAGGGTTCGCTGACGCGAGAAAGATGTTGCATAAAAGATGTTGAAAGGACGGGAATAGGAAAGCGGAGAAAAATGTGGAATTGTCCGTGAATACTTAATAGGTACACCGCTTAATCTCGGAACGCATTGAAGCGACAGACGCGGATAGATCGACTCGAGCGATTGTTGTACGTGTTGATTTCATCGACGGCAATTCTTTTGATACGATAAATGTCGTCGTGCAACACTCGTTGCGTTTAAACCTGAAATATCCTGAAATATCCCTTTTTAACCGCGGAACAATTAATGCGCACATGAGCCGGCTTTTTAACAAATTCAACGTGTATATGTTTAATAGAATGTTTCTCTCAGACTTTACTACAGCTAGATTATTATGAGGCTAAAAGAGGCTGTCGTGTCGAGGCGTCCGGTTGTACGAATGTGGCTACAAATTTTTTAATTACTCATATGCACACTCATAGGCGCACAGAATTTATTGTCTCAGCCGCCACGAGTAGGAGCGAATTTTTCATATAATTGCTAAAGTTACAATTAAGTTAATTACATCCCGAGAAAGGATGTCGAGGGGAGTCGCGTGACACCGTTAGTAAAAACTGCGAGGAGCATCTGTCGGGTTAATTAAAAAGTTATTAATATTTGTTACGAGTTAAAAAGAACAGCGTGGTGCGGGGGCAATGAATGTTCCTATTACGGAAACGTTAATTGAATCTTGCGTCTGGATCTGTCGCGATATGAGTCCCGAGACGAGATTACAAATTAATACGACAGGCTCTCGTTAATACATCACGCTTGTGACTTCGCCGCTGCCGCAGGTAATCTGATATTAAATAACACACTTGTACACGTGAACCAGCCAAATTTAGGAAATGGACGTAGCTAGTGGTTTAATCTTGATTAGCAAAGTTATTATTAAAAAAGTTCAGAGAGCCCACTTCAGAAAGTAGCTAATTAACAACGCGTCAAACTTTTCACAGCGGACGCTTAATAATAATTTTCTATATTTCTCCATTTGATATCCTGTGTACAGTTTTATCGGTCTCTCTCTCTCTCTCTCTCTCTCTCTCTCTCTCTCTCTCTCTCTCTCTCTCTCTCTCTCTCTCTCTCTCTCTCTCTCTCTCTCTCTCTCTCTCTCTCGTCCCTTCTACAACCTACGGAATATAATAGAATTGAAAAAGTGTTTTCATGCGATATGAACGCCCGAGGGTATCTAGTCAAACGGTGAATGCGCGATTATCCCATCTAACGTCGTCGCGAGTCGCTCGCGACGACGTTATTGACGTATCTTTTTCCTTATCAGTCACCTTCTGCGCAAGGGCTTCCCGCGAGAACGGCGACACCGACTTAACCGTATTAATTAATGAAGACTTACGGAAATATATCGCGATAACGGCGGAGCACTCGCTGATCCTTATATCCGGGAATATCCACAACGCGAACAAACTTCCGGAGGAGGAGGATCAGTACTCGCGGAGGGCCATCGTCTTAGGATGACCTCGAATCTCACGATCGGGCGACTTCACAAGCGGGTACATTCACAATATCGCGTGACGCGAGATTGGAAGACTACTCGGGCACTCACTCTGGACCGGTACTCGCCGGGCTCGCGGTATTTTTGCTGGCGAATTTCGAATGATCCGGCATGTCGGCCGGATGAATGCGAGTAACGAAATCGCCGTTTGTCTTCGGGAGAATACGTAGGGTCCCGCTGCGGAGCTTGTGGTGGTGGTGGTGGTGGTGGTGGAAGAGTGGAGGATCTCGCGCGAGAGGGCCAAACGGCTCTCACGAGATGATCCGGCACGTGGGATGAGGTGGAACCTCACGGCGAGTCCGACAGAGAGAGAGAAAGAAAGCAAGAGCGAGAGGAGAGACAGGAGGACGAATGGTAGTGGGAGGAAGAGGAGAGAGAGAGAGAGAGAGAGAGAGAGAGAGAGAGAGAGAGAGAGAGAGAGAGAGAGAGAGAGAGAGAGTGAGGGGGGAGGGGAGAGGCAGAGAAAAAGGAAACGGTGAAAGAGACCGAGCGAAAAAAGACGAGTGAAGTACGTGAATGAGCGAGTGCGCGAGCGAGCGAGAAAGCGACAGGAAGAAAACGCGAGGAAGGTGAGTAGGCAGGCAGGCGGGTAGGCGGGCAGGATGAGCAGGATCAGCGCGACGACAGTGGAAGATATATTCGCGACGTCGCGAACACAGAAAGTGGGAACCGCCGACGGTTGCGCGCATCGAGCAATGAGCAGTCAAAAGGAAGCGGAAGGCGAGGGAAGAGTGCTCATATAAGTGCAAATGAACGCTTCGAATACGAAGCAGTGCAAGGAGCTCTCTCTTTCCCCCTTTGCTCTTTTCACATCGTTTTTTCCCGACGTCATGAAAATTATGATTCGCACGTACACAAAGAATTATGATGAGCCGATTGTCGATTCACCTGTCGGAAAGCTGCGCGCTCCGCAGGAAGTAGAGAAAAACAATCGCGGGCTGCCGCTTGAATAGGACGCGCTCGACGGTGGGAGCAGGAAAGAGGAAGAAGAAAAGAGAGAACGAGGGAGGGGACTACCGGTCGAGAGAAAGAAAGAGAGAGAGAGAGACTCTGACAGCGACCTACTGTCCTGCATACCGCTCGGCGCAACCTGCGCCGCCATGAAGGGGACCGCACACACGTATAATACACCCGTCGTAGGAAAGCCAGAAACTTCCTGCTGCAGCCGTGCGCCGGCGATCGACAGGGATCAATTACTCAGACCGACGAGTCGCATCCGCTGCTCCTCCTTGGCAATCTTCCGATCGTGCGCGGAGAGTTTACCGGAGAAAGGTGAATCTTGTGTCTACTCGATTCGCTTCGTGCCGCACGATCCGCCAACTTTTCCTATTAAATCACTACATGCCACCGCAGCCCGCCGCGGGTGCTTTCTAAAGGATGCTTCGCTCCGACGACGGCGTGCCGCGGAGTCAAGTCGCTCGAGTGCGATGATGTGTGATTGCGCGCGCGCGTGCGCGCGCGTGTGTGTGTGTGTGTGTGTGTGTGTATGTATGTATGTGTAATGTGTCGCGGTATAGATTTATTCCAGACCGTGCGAAACGATGGACGAGCGATTTCCCCACGGTCCTCTGCCGATTTTCAGTTTCCCATCGCGACACGCTGGTATTAATCGAGAGAAAATTTCGGCCGATTGACCTCCGCGGCGAAATCAGCCGCGGAAGAACGCTGAGGCTGGGCTGACCCATGAAAAATGCAAAAAGCGCACGATCAATATTCCAGTTTGATTCGCTATATTATATTATCGAGATTTGCATCCGCTCGCGAGATCCCGACTTGCCTTTAATTATACGTCGTGTCCTGACGACTCGTAAAGCAAATTTCGCGTCGTCGTTGAATAAATGAAAATGCAACTCGATGTATGCATACGCGCATTGAAATACGAATACGAGGGCATCTCGCAAACAACGTGTCCGCGCACGGTATATTCCTTCGCCTTCGCGGTAACTGAACGTGAAGCATTGTAGTCACAATGCGCGTATAAATTTGCGAAATAATAAACACCTAACGCGGATAATCCGCGATAAATGCAGACGGGTGTGCGGATTCGCGGTATATTATTAATGCCCAACATCGAACGCCGTTATTTCCGGCCAGCATTGTTCGGCTCTGAAAAGAAAATATTCCGCGCGCAACACGCGCTCGTAACTTACGCCGTCGTATTCGAAAGCACCGATCGATTATCTATTTCCCATCACAACATGTACATGCAAACAATCAATCATGTTACACGACGTCGTTCACATTTGCATCGCAAATATTTTTACATATGCACAAAAATCCAACGAGCACGCACAATCGTGGCTCGGCACATTGGCCCGGAAAATGTGTATTTTCATTGAGCCGTCGTCGAAAAGGGTTTTACGATCGAGTTGGAAATTAATCGCGTCATACAATATCCGGACGTGGCCGATTTATCTGCCTAAACGAAATTGTTATTTTTTTATTTATCCACTCTTTTTTTTTTCAACTACATCGAGTACACCGTTGGTGCAGAGGGATCCTGCGCGTCTCCCTCGTCCAGTGATTCGATCGAAACGAAACAAATTCAATAAAACTGGTCTGATTCAGAAAATTAGGTTTCTATACCGGGGCGGTTTGTCGAAACCGCTCTGCTTGTGTTACACGCGCACTCGGCGAGCCTGAAATTCAACGCCTCTCTCGATCGTGCCGGCCCCTGCGCGCGTACCGCAACTTCTCTCTAATTTGGATCCCGATATCCGGCCGTCGTTTTTCCGCATTTGTCCACGCTGTAATCTTTTACCCACGCTTCCCACGTAATTTTCCCACGCTGTAAATTCCAAACTCTTGATTTTCCGCGACTGGACACCGATCGGTGCTCACGCGTATTAACAGTACACCGCCGTTCGGCACTCACCTCTTAACACATTTTTCATCAGCACCAGCGGGGTTAATATTGACTAGCGTAACACACAAGCGGAGAATAGCTCTTATTCGCGGGGACACGTTAACTCTCTCCCGTCTCTACCCGTCTTTACGTTAACGCGCTCGAATTATGTGTCACTTGCGGGACCTCGCTCGGGCGAAGATTGTCGCGCGACTTTTGCCCCCGCACGGCAATTTCTCAACGCAGATCCGCTGAATACGCAATCGTAATGCAACGGTAACGCTCGCGACCGTGGGCCGTGCTATCCGAGATGTGCGGATTAAATCGTGCGATTGCGTAACACCGGCCAGTCGCGGATACGTTGCAACGTTTGCCGCCGAGCGGCACGAGACGTCTCGAGCGAAATTTCGCGAGATGTGAATTTCTCTTTTTCGGCATTCTGCATTCTCGGCTAACGAATCGTAGTTCCGTTTCGGCATGCATCGCGTTTCCGATGTGTGTCTATGCGACGTGTTGCTCGTTACAGACGCCAAAAAGCGTCATCTCTCGTTTGAATAACGCGAATTGGACTCAGTTAGTCACAAAGAGTGATGAGTTACATCCTCCATCAATCCCGCAAATCCGTCGGGACGGACAAGCGCGCAATCGAATTTCATGTTTAATTCGACTTTCTACCTTTTACGCAACGAGTCACTTTGACCACGCGAATTTTCGGCCGACGTGTCCATCCAGTAACTGCTTCGTACTTACGACGCGTTGTGACTCGTCAATATCACGGAGGAATTAATTAAACGTCCACAAATATACACCGTATAATTTTCAGTGCAGGAGAGTGTAAAAATATTATATTTCTGTCGCGTTAGACAGAGAGATGGCAAAATTCACATTTCTTGTAAGATTATATATTGTCAAAGAGTAGTTGTTACTCGTGACGTGAATTGTATAGATTTTTCTATCTCAGTTTTCCGCGTCGTTAAATTTTTTAATTTTCGGTCTTTCGAAATTACATTTTGAATCCTCGAGCGTTCGATCTCTCTCGAATTTCGGCGGGGAATTCTCGCGGAATCCATTCGGGGCGCAAAAGCGTTCGCTTTCGCGTAAGATTATTTTACAACGCGATTATTTCCCCGTCTCTGCAATGGATCGATCGAAATTATCGACACTTGTCGCGAAGCGCAACGGGATTTCGGCGACATATCCGGCGAGCGATCTCCCAATAGAGCGACTCTATTCTGCGGCAACGGTGCGTTTAATAGATTTTTGTGCGATGAACTTTTAATCCACGTTGTTTCGCGACGAGTCAACCGGAAACTGATTCGTCTCGTCGCCGTGAAAATGGTTCGGCGCTATCTCCTCATACGAGGACACGATAAAAATCCGCTCGTACAAGATACGCGCACGTGCCATATGTGGTGATCGACACGTTTTTGTACGTTCGATTTTTTTCCCCACATAGCAGCCGATCGAGTGGATTACAACGTGATTGACCGCATCGCGACAAGCTTGGCGATTGATAGCGCGACGCCTCTGACGCGCGTTTCCTTCGTGGACACCCGAGTCGAAATTTTGATTCTACTTTCGACTTTAACACTCCATTTAACACTAATTGGATACTCTGAAGCTTATCCTCTTGAGAGGATAGACAAACGGGAAATTGTATGTTTTCCACCAGTAGGACTTTAGTTCCTAATTTAAGTTAAATCTCCGCCGGTCCTCCAGGATCAATAGATGTTAGGCGATTGAGGTCGAGAATTTTGAGAGCACGGCGAGCACGGAGGTTTCACCGTTGGATTTCGTGACGTGATCGTTAGGAACTTTTCCCCGCTTCTGTTTTTCACGCACGGTAATTAATCAATGCGACGGGGACCGTCATAATTTTCAGTGTTTTATGTGCGCCCTATCGTGGATTCACGACGTTTCCGTATTCGCGCGATGTACAATCGAAGCGTGAGCGTTTTCGCAAAATTCGCAATTTTAATCGCGCGATATTATAGAGATGTTATTTGAGAATGCTGCAGTTATATGCGCGAGAAGCTGTTAATTAAAAATTATTCATGCACAATACGCGAAGTTCAGCGTATGCCGTTTGAATTATTAATTATTCGGTTAATTTGCGAGAGCAGCCTATACAATCATTTTGTTCTGGAATGCGCGGATATAACGCATTATTATCGTAATTGTTACATCACGCGCTACAATACACGCGATACACGTATAATTGTTGTGTAATAATCCCGCGGATAAATCATCATCTCGCAGAGAGAGAGAGAGAGAGAGAGACGATAATGCCCATGTTAACTCGATTTTACAGGTTTCGGAAATTTAACTATTACAAACTGCCGT